CCTTCATTTTATTGCTATGAATAGCTGGTAAAAATTTGAGTTAATTCTACCGACCAGATTTCCCGGAAAACGTGTTTGAAAATTTCAAGCCGAAAAAAAAGGATGCAAATTTCAAACACGTTTTCCGGGAAATCTGGTCGGTGGAATGAGCTAAAACTTTTACCAGCTATTGAGAGCAACCAAATTAATGTTCCCACAGAGCCGTTTTTCGATATTCGATTTAGAAAAAAATATATAAATAAAACAAGTTCTTTGACTCTGTGAGGTACAGACCACCTTATATAATTAATTTGTTTATAATAAACAGTTGTCAATAAAAATCATACATATTGAAAATATCAATTAATCAAATTATATTATATCGCCCTCAGCCGACGAAAACATTTCACCTTAAAATAAATCATTAGTTTCGATGGATTTCGACTAGGTCAAATCGTCGCCCCAGCGCAAGAACCGCACGAATAAACTCAAGTGGCAAAAATAACCTTATCCCTATGTTAAAAGGATAGGATTAAGGCACCTTTTTGCCACTTGAGTTTATTTGTGCGGTTCTTGCGCTGGGGCGACGAAATGGTTTCAAACATATGTAATTGTTAATTATTTGTTGAGAGCTTTGATTTAAAAAAAAATGAACCAATTCAGTCCAATAGAAGCCGAGATAACGTTATTTTTTCCAGCGCGCTTCACTTTGAAAAGTCAATTTCAAGTTTTTCGAGCGGCCCGAACAGCTGGCCTCGGCCTGTCCCCACTCCGCTGCCCGTGCGAGTGCATGATAGAGTCAGAATGTTTTGTTAGTTAATAATATTATCGTTGCAAAAGTAACGGCGATTGGTAGTTGCATTCGTTCACATATAAAAGTTCAATATTTTGTTCGAATGTTTACCAAATTTCAGCTCTTAATGTTGATAAACAAAGTCGTGGTGATTTTTAAAAAAAAAGCCTAACTTCGCTTCTAATATAGTTAGAGAGGTGAATTTTTTTTTAAATTAGCGTAAAAATGTCAGGAACAAGATGCCGAAATTCAATTCGACTTACGACTTCTGGGGTCTGTTCCGATAAGTCTATTTGTTTATAAGAATTTTCGTACCCGTTTATATTTGGTGTTTATTTTGCAAGTCTTCGTGAACAAATTATCGTTTTTATTATTGCAAATTAACTGAGAGGTCACTATCTTTTATTTGCGCCCTACCTGGTCCTGGTACGTTGAGCCAATTCAAAGTTAATTAACAATCTCTAAGGGAGTGTTTTTTAATAAACAAATGCAATATCTCGATAAATAATGCAATTAGCGAGATTTTGAAAAATGCATTGGATTGTGCGTAACGAGGGCTATATTTTCACGAGATCTCATTGCCGTAGCACGTTTTAATACATAATGATAAACAATTATAAAAACGGCCACTTTTAGGGGTTTTTCGACCTGGAGAATGAACAAATGGACGAAAAAATATTAAAAAAATACCAGAATAAAGGTTTTCGAAATGCCTACAACTTTTGTTTGAAACATTTTATCGTAAAACTTATACTTTAAGAGTTAAAAATTATAATCCGTTTTTTGCATTTTTAAAGGCTTATAAAAAAAACGCAGGAACAAAAAACAGTGGCGTTTTATGAAAATTATTTGTTTAGGGTACCCAGAATAAGAATCCGTCGTAAAAATCTGGTTGCGAATTTTTTTTTTTTTCAAAACCTTTATTGATTGGACTAAAAGCAAAAAATTATATTCATTAAAATTAAATTAAATTTATAAGTCACCTAAAGCTTCAATCGTCTTCTTCTCCTATCATTAACCAAACAATTGATACAACAAACTGCTTGCTAAAAAAACATAATCAAAATTATTATATTATCTTATAAACATACTATCTTTTCCTCATATATATTTTCATATAATAATCTCCTTTGTCTTTATTTTTTTTTATTCAGCTTCAGGTCGTTCCACGACCGAAGTTGTTAATTAAAAAAATATTTAAAAAAAGAACTTATACCCGTTTAAGCCATCATCATCCCAAGGAGGTTTATCGCGAGGGGGTCTCGACTTCACGACAAAGTATTTGCAAAGTGCCGCGATGTCGCGACATTGTTGCGCATTTTCGGTTTCCTCCGTTGCATGTGTAACGACAGCATTTTGCAGTGCGCAGCTCCCGGTGTCACGCGCCGAGGTATTATGATCTCGTGCGTCTGCTATTTCTCGTGAAGGCGACCAGTTGTCTGGGAGATGAATAATAGAAGACTCGACACGCGTCGATGTATTATCGCTGTTGTAATCATATGATATGTTGTCATTCGTTCGTTCATCGTAATGCTGCGCAAATTGATCTTGCTGCACGTTGCGCGTGCCATGCATTGTACCTGGCCCTAGTCGAGCTTCTAGCGGTATATTGTTGTGCGTTGGAATCGGCAAGGGCACCTATGGCATCGTCTCAACGCAGCGATATTATTCCGGTGACTCTACGATTTTTGCGTCGCAATGCTCGCTCGACTTCTTCCGCGGCCTATTCCAGCTCTCTCGCTAGTTTGCCAACGAATCAAAATTTCTCGCGGGGATAATATAATTATTATCATTTAGTTGTCCAATGTCTTGTGATATTTTAATATCGCTTACTGATGTGCCACGTTCGAGAACTTTTTTGCATACTTTTTGAGAGTGTTCTTTATCCGAGCCCCCTTCCCAGATATCTTTCTGCAATTCACGCCTATTGGGAACAAGATTTTTGCGTAAATCTATACGCAATTTGTTGAAGATTTCCTTTGCGATTTCCGGAAAAGAGCGCCTAGCGTATTCTTGCTTGTTGTAGTATAATATCAACTTAGGTACCGCATTAGATTGCTAATCCGCGACTGCACGCTCGCTGATGCAGGTGGTGACTCACATAGATTTTCCTGGAATGATATTAGATCGTCACCACAAGCACTCTGGCATTCCGTTCGTTGCAAGTCTAAATTTTCGACTTGTATTGCAGGTGCTTGTGGCGGTACCGCCGGCTTGCGATGTCTTTTGCCCACGTTCACGATCTCAGCAATTTTTTCTCGTGCTCGCGTTTTTGCTGTACGCTCCGGCAACGGTAGCATGCTGACGTCGCTGTTGCCGTCATTACAGATTTCCTCTATTGCCTCGAATTTTTAGGCCGGATGCAGAGAGTCCAACAACGAATCGTCATTAAATTTCTTTTTTTTTAGCGGTTTTGACTTATATCGTCTCGTGCGCATTTTGAAGATTCTACCCGGACGATGATCCAGTTCAGCTGGTAATATTTTTCGCACACCTATGCAATTTAAAGTCGGCACCCCAAGCGTTGTCGTCTTATCTTCGAGCCCGGCACTTGAGAATTGAGCCGGATACGCTACTAGTCAATTATTCTTCTGCGTAGTCGGTGGCTCCGACGCAATTGATGAGCTTGCGTCTGCTAGCCCTAAAACAAGCCGAAAAAGTCTTGTTTTGTTCTCTTTGGTTAAAAAAATATTGAAAAAACGGTTGGTTACCTCTATTTTGAGACACGATTTTGGAAAGATGAGAACTTTCTCTACAATTTGCGTATAATCATTCCTCTGCGAAATTTGATTTCTTTTCATAAATTTTAAATGTAGCTCAAATTTTCATGCATTTCTATGTTGCCCATGTTAATTTTGGAAAATGTTATCGCGTTTATCTCGAGATTTTGCCTGGTTTGGGCATATAAGAGTTATACCATTCGATTCGGGAGGTCAAAATCTATCGATATTGATAAATGTACTTCTTGCGAAAGTCGCAAAGGAACTTCCTTAATACAACTATCTAACGATCTATAATTTAGAAGTGGACCTTGAAACTGTACGCTACGCGATCTATTGCCGGGATTTTCTGTCGGTTGCCCGTAAGCGGAATTGCTTCTACGCAAGTCCACTGTTTGCGTGTGTAGAATTAGGTGTCGGCCGCAAGACAGTGTATGCGTGTGTGAGTACTCCGAAAATGTCTTTGTCGCGACTGGCGTCCAGCGCGACCTCTTGTGATCGCGAGCAGTTCAGTTTGGCTGTGACGCTGAGAGAGGCAAGACCTCGAGATGGGACTTAACCCGCGTGCGACGCTTGCAAGCATTTATAATAATCTTCAAAGTTAACAATAAACACGCGAGTATATTTTTCTTTATTCAACTTAAGTGCATTGTGTCTACTGATTTTACTCTTCCCCATTGCCCATTGCCGATGACCGCACTCTCTCTGTCGATAGCTGATTAAAGTAAGAATCGGAGTGGCAGAAAATATAATATGGTCCTACGGAGCCGGATTAACTAACAATCGAGCTGATTATATAAAAATCAAAAAAAGTGAAAATGCAAAGGGTAATCGAGGAGTATAAAAGAAAAAAGAAACTTAAAATCGAACAAAGTGAAAAAGAAAAATTCTCGAACATTCTTCAGTGCAGGTTAAGTCGCGTTCTGTGTGCGAGGTCGAAATTTTTAGAAACTCTGAAAGCGAGTTACAGCCCCTTCATTCTCAAGCAACTGCACAGTACGCAGTGTTGCTACAAACTCCAATTCGCGCGAGTGCCGCGACTCAACGACAAGTGTGTTGTGTGCAGTGACCTCTACGCTGCAAAGTGATACATTTACACGCGAGTTTTTGCGCACTATTCTTATCTTCTAGAAGCGACAGTGTTTCTCACTCAAGATGTGTGACCACAAGGAGACTCTACAAGATCAGGCCACGACTGGAAAAATGATCAAAAACTTTATCTGAAACACAGAAAAACTCGGACAGGCGAATCTGACCTTCGACTCATTAAATTCGCGATTGTGTACGTTGAGTCGTACTGGAAAGTGAACACTGATCGTCACCTCGCCTTGTCTCGCTTTGAAAGAGAGCTCGAAGAGGAGAGCTATTTTGTGAACGACAGATTTTCTAAAGTCGAAAATCAATACACGGAAGCAAGAGCGTACCACATGCAAAAAATTACGGCCCTCTCGGCGCGTGCGCTCGACTATACAGTGCCTGTTTCAAACAACACACAGGCTGTAGTGCAAATGTCGACCACAGCCACCTCACTGCCGAAACTCACATTGCCGAAGTTTAGCGGACAACAGTCTGATTGGGACTCGTTCAAAGCGTTGTTTGTATCTATGGTAAAAGATGCACCAACGCTCACTCCAACGCTAAAACTTCAACACCTATTGGCCTGTGTCGAAGGCGACGCCTATTGCACAATCAAAAACATCGAGGTTAATGCAGACAATCTCGAGGTAGCATGGACGGCCCTTAGCCGCTGTTATGAAAACAAGCGTCTACGCATCTCGGTCTACATGAAGCGGCTGCTATACATGCCCAAAGCGGTTACAAGATCAGTTGCAGAAGTCACTCGGCTGCTTGAAACAAGCAACGAGTGTCGTCGTGGCTTGAGTGCATTAGGCGAACCAGTTGAGCATTGGCATCGCTGATTCGTCAGCTTAATTGTGTTTTATTTCGACAACAACACGAGGGAACTGTGGGAGCAACACCTGCCGGACGACGGCGCACCAACAACTTTTACACAGTTGGTCAAATTCTTGGAGGACAAGGTTCAAGCTCTGGACACGGCAAACTGTCCAGACCCCGATACATCAGCTCGACAGAATAAAAACTCCAGATAGGCGTCTCAAATACCCTCTAGATCTGTTTCGGCTCATCGTGCAGCCAGCGCAGACTCATCATCACGGCGACAGGCAAAATGCTCACTGTGCTCAGCGGATCATCGTCTGGGATCTTGTCCAGATTTTCTTAGCTACACGATCGATCAAAGATGGAAATACGCACGTGATAAAAGTCTCTGCTATAATTGCCTAAATGCTCAAGGAACTACCTACAATTGCCTTGAGATTCATAACCATTGTACTCAATGCGTGCTTTCGGCTTTGCCACTTCCCAGCACAGTGGAAAGAAGCGCAAATCATAATTCTCATACAAAAACCAGGGAAAGATGCAGGCATTGTGTCATCATATAGACCAATAAGTCTGTTACCTATATTGTCTAAAATTGCTGAAAAAATCATACTCTCAAGAATGGACGAAATCATTAGAGCGAAAGAATTAATCCCTCATCACCAACTCGGATTCAGGAGCCACCACTCAACAATCGTGCAGGTAAATAGAATTGCCTCCAAAGTGCAAGAAGCATTTGAAAAAAAACACTACGTATCAGCAGTGTTTCTTGACGTTGCTCAAGCGTTTGATAAAGTTTGGCATGCAGGACTACTGTTTAAGATTCGCAAAAATTTTCCGATCAACTTGTACAAGCTACTCAAATCATACCTCGAAAATCGCACCTACCGAGTAAAAGTAAATTCAAAAATCACAGAGTTATATCAAATAAGAGCTGGTGTGCCCCAAGGTAGCGTGATAGGGCCCACTTTGTACCTGCTATACACGGCTGATATTCCAACCTCGCCTGAAGTAATGACTGCCACATATGCACACGATACAGCCATACTTGCGACCTGCATAAACGCACCTGAGGCGTCACTTAATATACAAAACCATCTAAATAAACTCCAACAGTGGTTCAAAATATGGAGAATTAAAGTTAATGCCAACAAATCCTGCCATATAACTTTCACTCTTAGAAAAGGTGATTGTCCTCAGGTTAGTTTGTACGGAAACCCAATTCCTCAATCGGATGAAGTCAAATACCTCGGGATGCATCTCGACCGTCGGCTCACTTGGAAGACACACATATGGACAAAGCGAAAACAGCTGGGTCTAAAATTAAGACAATTCTACTGGCTGCTGGGTAGGAAATCATACCTTACACTGGAAAATAAAGTGCTAATTTACAAGAGCATTTTAAAGCCCGTTTGGTCATACGGCATTCAGCTGTGGGAAGCGGCCGCAAAATCCAACATAGATATCATCGAGCGATATCAAGCCAAAGTGTTGCGTAGCATGGTGGACGCGCCGTGGTTTGTACCCAACGAGGTGATTCGTTGTGATCTAAGTGTCCACTTGTTCGAGAAGAAATAAAAAGTGTCTTCACAAGATACAAAAATAGACTTCACGAACACTCAAATCCACTAGCACTAGAACTAAATATTCAGCCACCACCGTCAAGACTAAAGAGACGGCAACTTGAATAATAATTTTTATATAAAATTTCGTTTATTAACTCCATGTTAAAGCTCAATATCGTGTGAGATGAACTCTGGTTCATCCTCTGCCTCCTGCCTTCATATTTCATGTTAACACTACTTGCTTATTGTCTAATGTATACCCGACAGATTGCAATTAAAATTTGGTTGAAAAAAAAAAAAAATAAATAAATAATTGCCTAAATAAGTCACACAAAGGCTCGGAATGTCCATCGGCATTTAAAAGTCGGACTTGCAAACAAGCGCGAGCGCGAAGTGGTGAAAAACGAAAAAAATTCTGAACTCAAAAATAAAGAAGTAAATAATGGTTTTAATGTGATAGAAACCTGCGCAGTGGTATACTAAATGCATGGTAAAAATTTCAAGCTGATCGGACAAATAGTTTTTGAGATCATAAAAGACAAACAGACACCAACTTCGCTTTATATAGATAGATGCATGGTAAAAATTTCAAGCTGATCGGACAAGTAGTTTTTGAGATCATAAAAGACAAACAGACACCAACTTCGCTTTATATAGATAGATAGAAGATAACTATTCCGTTATCGAAATCTGCATACGCGCAGCGGAGCAACTGCGGCGCCCGCAATATGCGTGCGGAATCATTTATTATTTTATTTTAGTATTTACAAGTCGAGACATAGCTCGAAAACATTTGTGTAGAGTTTTTTAAAACATTCATTAAACATTTTATGATATTAGGCATTCAATTTTTTAGATATTTTTTATTAGATATTATCTCAGGTATTGTAAATATTTAGTTAGGTTAAATATCAAACTAGACTCTCTAAAATAAAATAAATATGAACATCACCTGCTCAAACAGCACCCGCTGCGCGTGTGCGGATTTCGATAACCAGATAGGTATTAACTATAAGTATAATCGAGGAGCGCGCTTGCCACTCGCTCTGGCAAGTATGGCAGAGAGAGCTTCTAAAAATATACATCTAGATATTTATTTCCTCGAGATGAAAAACATTCATCTAAGTACAGAAACTTTGCACAAATGTCTTCTAGGTACTTCTGGACTTGTTGATTATAAAATAAAATAATAAATGATTCCGCACGCGACTGCAATCATTTTAAAAACAATTTTAACTATACTCACCTCTCGCAATGGTATAGGCAGCTTGCGATTCATCCCATGCCACATTCACAACCCTGCAATTCACTCTTCCACCGGTGTATTGGTCCTGCTGCGTGCGGTGTCGAACTCTTTTTTTTTTTTTTGTTAAAAAAAAAGACAAAAACAAAAATTTGCACCGATCACGAATAGAACAGTCACCGTCGAACACACCTAGCACCAAAATTAGGGGGAGCGCCCAGGGTGTTACGTGGGAAGGGGTTAAATAAAAGACAAAATAACTAATTAGCGTGAGATTTCTCCTTGTCGCTTGATGTACTGATACTGACGCCGCTGATGAGCGATGTTCATCACTCTCATTGTCGTGCGCCGCGTCACTGGTGGGGACCTAAGGCCTTGTCGTCCCGCGTGACAGAATAATTCAACCCTTTCGAAGTGTCAATTAAAATTAAGAAGAATTATGCAAACGCTTATCACGGAGTTGCAAATGACGAAGAACACGGTGTGAAAAAATGAAATATTGTTAAAATATTTTTGTTGATTTTTTTACTTTTTTTTTCTCAATTGCTTTATAAAATAGCATTAACGAAAAATCATCAGCTTTTTTATTTCATTCCAGACTCTCAACTTTTTTCACTTTCAGGATTAAACGGGAAATACCTATCAAATTTTTTTTTATATAATAATTTTTTCCTCCTTGATCAATTCTAAAACAATTTTTGTTCTATACCCTTTTCTTCTAAACTTGTTAGTTCCCGAGTTAAAAAATACTAAATATTTTTACTAATATAATCAATTTTTTCTCGGAAACTAACAAGTTTAGAAGAATAATGTAATGAACAAAAATGTCTTAGAATTGATCAAGGAGCATCCTCAAATTTTTTTATAATTTTCCCCGGTGATTTTGGTGTCAAAGGGTTTAAACTCTTACACAGCAAATACCTATCAACATTTTTTTAGAACATCCACCTTTTCTTACTTTTAGAACCCTAAGAAGCAATTTCCACTAATCGGTACCCGCGTACAAACAAATTTTTTTTTTAATTTTTTGACCTTTATAAGTGCAGATTTTTTTCGGATTTACTCATATTCACGGTAATACAGAAAAAAATTGCTAAAATTAGTTATGTATACAAATTTTTACATTTTTGCATAGAAGCAACTATGACTTTTTTACTTTGCATCTATAATTTCTTATAAATTTTACGTTTAATTTGAAAATTTTCCAAAAAAGGCTCAGTCAATAGAATAAATTTATTATATTGAAGAAAAATCGAATGCTATGGTAATAAATGAAAATAGTTTACTTATACTTGTGCAAGACAACCAACAGCGCAAGATGTACAAAGCAGTCAAGAAAAAAATATTCGAGCACATTCAAGCACACTCATTTTTATATACTCAATGGATCTGGCATGCAATGACGAGTAGTCGTAATTGAATATCATCGACGAATTAAACAATCGTAGTGGCTCTTGTACATTGAAATCTGCTACTAGCCACTGTTACTTTTTCGTTTCCTTAGCTGTTTATAGCAGCTTAGTGTAACTCATCAAGCTTCACAAGTTTTATGAAAGTTCAAAATGACGTCTATACTGAATAGCCTTTACACCATCACTTACTTCATCCTCATATTAGTGTCATCTTCGAGACTCGTTTTGTCTAAATCATCCGACGATTCAAAATACGCAGATGAAAATTCAGATGAATACACAGGTAATCTATATGGCTTAATCAACTATAACAATTATATTAGTAGGAGAAAGTTGATAAGTAGTAGATGAATTTCAGATTATCAACCGCCGAGCCAAGTCACGCCCAGACGATTTCCACACATAATTTCACGAAAAGAGTGGAATGCTTCGGCACCTAGCTTCGAGATCGACAAGTTTAAATATCAACCTGTTCAACAACTGCAACTGCATAAAAATGATGCCGAGGTCTGTCAGACACTCGGAGAATGCAAAATTCTGATGCGTTACATACAAAGCAGCGATATTAAACACAAGGGTTGGAGTGATTTGGGTGGTAACTTCTACATCGCAGCAGATTCTATAGTTTTTGAAGGTCGTGGTTGGGATAATGTGGGAGATCCGAGTCGCCGAAATTTCGACTCAAGTTTGGAATTCGTGATTATAGGAAAAATTAAGGATGCTTTAAAATTCAAAAATGTTGTAGAAAGCCTGATTTATGTGGGAGCCGAAAAAGGAAAATTAACGATTGGTATTCATGGCATCGACGCTGAATGGCTTTGGGGATATAACTAATAAAATTTTCATGTATTTCTTAAAATTTGATTAATTTTATTGTTTAACAAAATAATAATAATCGGAATAATAATAATAATAATAATAATAATAATAATAATAATACTTATCATTGACAATAATTTTTTAAAGTAAGTCTAGCCACAATGTTCATTGACTGGAGCTCTTGAAACAGTAATTTGCAAGCGTAAGGCATGGTAATAGTCGATACGGGGCTCGTACGACAAGCGTGACAATAGCCACTGTAAGCCATCAAACCACAATTATTACACACATCAACGTCGAATGAGTCGCTTGAAATCATCAGTCTTTCTATCAGCATCATACTGGCTCCATAACCGATGAGGCAATCTCTCTCCATCTCACCCAGCCTCAAACCACCGTCCTTCGATCGACCTTCGGTTGGCTGCCTCGTTAAAACAGCCCGAGGTCCGCGGGCTCGAGCATGCATTTTGTCTTGTACCATGTGCTTGAGTTTCTGATAATATACCTATGAACAAATAACAATTAATTGATTATCATGAGTTTGATACACTTCAGTTTGATGTTACACCATCAATATACTCACGGGTCCTGAATAAATGTACGCATCAAGTGGTTCTCCAGTAAGACCAGAATAAAATACATCCTTTCCTAAGTAATTGAAATCATGATTTGCCAACTCTTCGCAAATGTCTTCAACTTTAGATCCACCGAAAGCTGTTCCATAGTGAAATTTTCCCTTCAGAACTCCAGCTTTACCAGCGAGTAGTTCTATTATTTTTCCGACCGTCATGCGAGACGGAAAACCATGAGGATTCATGATCATATCAGGACAAATGCCAGAATCATTGAATGGCATATCTTCTTGCTCTACTATGAGTCCTGTGACGCCTTTTTGACCGTGCCTACTACTGAATTTGTCACCTATTTCAGGTCTTCTCGTTTGTCGGAGTAAAAGTTTTACCAAGAATAAATTATCCGTGTTGGTAGAAATCATGGCTTTTTCTACGTAAGCCGGTACCGAGTTCTTGTACACATTTGGCACGTCTTTGTAATCTTTGATTGATTTACTTTCAGTGACCACATTTCCTGTACAGTTAATAGGACTTGATTTATTAATCATCACCGATCGAGATTCAACCTTTTGACCAGGGGCAGCAATACCATCACTATCCAATGCTTCATGTTTTGGAATCACTTTGTGATTGTTAAACATTGGTCCATTAATTATGTCCGTATTTTGATTCGGATACTTTTTTAATACGCACTTTGAGTTCCTGTACACTAAACATCTTCCATATCCTCTATCAATCGAAGCTTTATTTAAAATTAAAGCATCTTCAATGTCATAACCGCTGTAAGACATGACAGCTACAATGGCATTTTGACCAGCAGGAAGCTTGTCAAAGTTTGTCAGTTCAATAGTTTTGGTTTTTACCATCGGGGCGTGAGGGTATACCAAATTGTACATAAGAGTATCAATTCTATTTCTCTGATTGTAGGCAATTGTACCCATAGCTTGTTTACCCATAGCGCACTGGTAGGTGTTTCTAGGACTTTGATTGTGATGAGGATAAGCAACAAGACCTGCGCACACTCCAAGCAATGTAAAAGGTTCGATTTCTAAATGTGTCGTATCCTCTTTTATGTAAGATTCGTTGAAGGCTATAAAACTATCGTTTTCTTCATTCACGTCTAAATATTCAATTAAGCCTTCATCTAGAAAGTCATCAAAACTCCTTATTCCTTGCTGCATCTGTTTCAAATGCTTCTGATTGACTAGAGGCTCACATCTTTCAACAATTATGTACGGTCTGCACAATCTTCCTCCATCTGCACTAATTTGCACGCATCTGTAAGTAATATTTGTGGTCATCATTCGAAACATAATAAAGATCATTTTGAAAAAGTAACATTTATGATTACATACTTGTGTTGATGTTGGGGATATATGGATACAAATTGATCTACAAGACCTCTTCTTCGCAACTTGCGAAAAACATTCACAAACCTATGATGATCCTTGACAGTGCCTAAAATGTTGCCATTTAAAAAAACCATATACACGTCTTGGCTAATTATTTCTTGACCTCCTAAACTATTTACACTTTCTACACCCAAAGTGAAAGCCATATTAATTACAGGTTGTTCCTCAATTTCTGTTGTAATGTGAGTCATCAAAGCCAAATTTTTTATCAATCCACATCCCTGAAATAAAATTTATAACATCTATAAATTGATCAAATTTCAGTCAGTTGTGGTTTTAAATAAAAGCAAATCTCATTTCACCTCTCCTTCTGGTGTATCACTCGGACACATCATTCCCCATTGCGAAGGCTGCAAAGAACGCGGGCCAGAAACTTTTCTAGTTTTTTCAAATTGAGAATTAACTTTTGTCATATGTCCCAAAGCTGATATGTATGATAGACGACAAAGTACTTGTGTCATTCCGTGCCTTTCCATTCTAAATCTCTTGATCGTCCAATTTCCAGAAGAAATTGCATTTGCTAATCCATTGGTGATCACTGAATTATTAGTCATATATGATGTTACATCAAATTGAGCTGCTTTAACTTTGGGGATATTTTTATCAGCTACTGCTTTTAACTAAAAAATTGAAGAAGTTTCTTGTAAAAGTTTGCTTCTATTACAAAGTAACATTAATCAATCACTTACATCATTGTTAAATCTTTTGAACAAATCTTCAAACATCAGTGCTAATAAGGATCCTGCTAACTCTAATCTTTTATTACCATAGTAATCTCTATCATCAATCAATTTTCCATCGATTTGAGCAATCATAACTTTACGTACCATTAACGCCAGGTATGTTGCTTTGAGTTTAAAATTGAAATCAACGACCTATTATAAAAGCAAGTCAAATGTCATAAGCATTATTTTCATTCGTGGTAATTATTTCATTAAATACTTTTCAAAAAACTTACAGGGACATGAGACAAAACATTTGAAGCTAAGGTATCTCTCATTTCATCTATAATACTAGATTTAGATCCAGAAACACGACCTAGTTCTCTTTTGAGTTTTCTTTTATTAATCAAATATTTAAGAGCTTGTAATTGTCCATGAATATTCAACGAATGGCATTCTTCAAGACTGGCAGCAATTTTTTTCATGAAAATTTCTTCAGTTCCAATAAGTTGAACTATCTCTTGGTCACAAACAATACCCATAGCTTTGAATATAACAACTATTGGAATATTCTGTTGATAATTTTAGTTAAATTAAAATGAGAATTAGAACAATTAAATGATAATAGGGTATACTTACATCTTGAAAGATATTGTGTTTCAGATAATATTTGCCAGCCTTTCCAATTACATTGGTTTTGGTTTTCCGTTCTTGAGTAGCACTGTTGACAGATGCAGTGATGCAATTTTTTCCATCGTCTTCTAATATTATTCTATTTCTGAGCATTTGTTCTTGTATTAAAATAACTTTTTCTTGACCATTAATAATAAAGTAACCACCCGGATCAAGCGGACATTCATTGAGTTTTGCCAACTGGAAGCTGGACTTATTATACAATATACAGTTGGAACTTCTAAGCATGATGGGCATTCTCCCTATTAACAAGTTTTTACTCGATTTTCGCTGCTGTCCTCTCATATATTCTATATCAACAGTAATTGGAGCTGAATAGTTTAGATCTCTTAAACGACATTCATGGGGCGAAGATTTACGCGTTTCTTGGTAAGTTACAGGAATATCGGGTGTTCCTACGGATACATTCACGTACCTGCAGAAATAAAACATAAATATGTATATGTAGCAATAGTTGAAATGGAATGGTTTTTGACGAACAAGCAAATAAATGAAAATCTTACCTTAAGAAAAAATTGGGATCCTCATTACTGAAAACTTTTCCAGTGGCCTGAACAATTTTTTTAATTTCTACATTGATAAAGTAATTGAAAGAGTCGATATGTTGTTTGACCAAGCCTTTGCCTTTGAGAAAGGCCGGCACAAGTTTCCATTTGTCCTATAATAATAAATATAGAATATGAGAGAAGGAAATGATAGAAAAAAGTAAGAAAGATTGGCACTGGTGTACGAGTAATCAGTAAACTAACCTCAATGTTTTGGACATTTTTGGTAAACTTTTTTGCATCAATTTTTGAGGCAGCGGAGATGTCGTTGGAGCCGACATGTCTCCGCGAGCCCATCTTGCTACGTGGTGTAAGACGGTGAATCAGGAGGAGCTTCGCCGAGGTGCAAAAGGTTAAAAGGAACTAAAAAATGAAAGAGCAGACTGAAAGAAGCAACTGCAGGCGCGACCTTGAACTGCGAGCACCGATCCGGGACGTTTGTAAGTAGGCTCTTTACAGCTTCGAGAGATATCGAGAGCGTAGGGGTTGGTGAAGCAGCAGCAGTGGCGAGCACGTGCGCATGGCCTGCTGACGACGCCGGTCCGCAGGGTTGCGTCACTCACGCCGGTGTTGTTGTCCGAGGGCGACATCTAGGTCTTGGGTATTCGACTGCGTGACATGCACGAAATTCGAAAAGCCGCAGGCGGCACTGGCACTGCAGGCAGCAGCGCGTCGAGACTCGAGCGCCGCCTTTGTAAATATATTACATTTAGCCTTACAACATTTAGACTGCGAAAGCAAATGTTAATTTGGCTTATCAGCGCCTACTACTTATAAGCAGACAACTCGTGGCGTTCGACATTCGCGATACGTATTGACATTGGCGAGAAAGCAGATGCGAACGAATAAGTATCGAGTATCGGCCGAAAAGTCCATTGGAAATGTCGCCGAATGCTTGGATCGGCTGCGTTATCGAACACACGATGTACGAGTAATTGATGGTCGCGCGAAAATGTACCTGTCCGAGTGGAGGAATAATCGAATGCAGCCGCGATTCGGCAGCTGCCATATACAAGACGTACACGAGTCGCGGGACGTTGGGCTCTCGCGTCGACTCCCGCCGAGGTCGTCCGATTAGAATATTGTAATCGGCGTTGCCCCTCGCGTCTCCGCACTCTTCGGGCGGAACGAGGCGAAACGAGTCGCTCAGTCGCAATCGCGAGCGATAAGAGACGCACGAACGAAAAGCGGCCATGGCTGAGCTTTTCAGGAGGACGGCATCGCGCTGCCTGGCCCCGTGGGGCTCCATCCGATCCATCGCCACGAGCTCGGCCTCGTTCCAGCGCTTTTTCCCCATCGACGAGCACATCTACGGCTTGAGCGAGCAGCAACAGCAGGCGAGTATTCAAATGGCGAGCAGCTCTTTGTAGCAGCTTTGTTTTATTACATTTTATTACATTTTATTACGTTTTATTTCGTACGGTACTCTTTGTGGCCGCAGCTACGGACTTTGGTGATGAACTTTGCCCAACGAGAGCTCGCGCCCAAAGCCGCCGAGATCGATCGGAAAAACGAATTTGACGAGCTGCGGGTAAGTACGAACTAAGTAAGTATGACATACAGCAAAGTATAGCATAGGCATATAAAACGTCGATCGGGGGGGCTTCAGGGCTTCTGGCGAAAGCTCGGCGAGCTCGGGCTGCTCGGGATGACGGTGCGGCCCGAGTACGGGGGCTCCGGGGCCGGCTACCTCGACCACGTGCTCGCCATGGAGGAGCTGAGCCGGGCCTCGGGCGCCATCGGCCTCAGCTACGGGGCCCACTCGAACCTCTGCGTGAACCAGATCCACCGGCACGGCAGCGAGGAGCAGAAGCGCCGCTACCTGCCCAAGCTCTGCAGCGGCGAGCACGTGGGCTGCCTGGCCATGTCGGAGAGCGGCGCCGGCTCGGACGTCGTCTCGATGCGGCTCAAGGCCGAGCGCCGCGGCGACCACTACCTCCTCAACGGCACCAAGTTCTGGATCACGAACGCGCCCGACGCCGACCTGCTCGTCGTGTACGCGAGGACCGACCCGCTGGCCGCCAAGAAGCAGCACGGCATCACGGCCTTCCTGCTCGAGCGGGCCTCCAGTCCGGGCCTGAGGGTCGCCCAGAAGCTCGACAAGCTCGGCATGCGCGGCTCCAACACCGGCGAGCTCGTCTTCGAGGACTGCCTCGTGCCAGGTAGGACCTACCTACATCTCTGCATCCTATCGTCTTACATTCTGTATAACGCGACTAACCTGCAACGCAGCCTGCAACGTGCTCGGCCAGGAGAACAAGGGCATCTACGTGCTGTTCAGCGGCTTGGACCTCGAGAGGCTCGTTTTGGCCGGCGGGCCGCTGGGGTAAGCCAAGTCTCTCTTCTTAATTTTCTTAATCGATCGCCAACGCGCCGACTACGTTTTACCAAACTGACACCTCGCGATGCAGGATTATGCAGGCTTGCTGCGACGTCGCCTTCGAGTACGCCCACGAGCGCAAGCAGTTCGGTCGGAGCATCGCCGACTTCCAAATGATCCAGGTGAGTCGTCTTTTCAAACTCGTCCTTGGGCATTTTACGAAAGTGCAGTGCCTGCCAACGTGAATTTCCAGGCCAAGATCGCTGACATGTACACGAGACTGAGCGCCAGCCGTAGTTACCTCTACTCGGTGGCCAGGGCCTGCGACAACGGACGCGTCAACTCCAAGGATTGCGCCGCCGTCATTCTCTACGCGGCCGAAAAGGCCACCAAGTGCGCCCTCGAAGCCATTCAAATACTCGGTAAGTGATCGTGTCGCATCGCTCATTTCGATTTCGCCTCGAACGATATTCGTCTATCCTCGGCCTTTGCTCGACAGGTGGCAATGGATTCATCAACGACTACCCTACTGGACGATTACTGAGGGACGCAAAGCTCTACGAGATTGGCGCCGGTACCAGTGAGATCCGCCGAATGATCATCGCTCGGGCCATCGCTAACCAATACTCTAGCAAATCGCCCAACGACGCTTGAGACTTTCCACATCGATATTTACTTCTGTGTATATACATTTATAGGATAAATATTTATGAATCGGCAACTCTTGTTTATTTCTGTGCGTATAAACGTATAATAGATCTAGCCACTGTCCAGCCAGCCACTTACATATCCGCAAGGGCAGCCGACGCGTATAATACGAATGTATCGGTGCGTGCAGAGTACTCGTAAAAAAACAAGAAAAAAACAAATACAAAACACAATCGAGTGGATGAGGTAGTAGAATAAATGATCGAGAGCGAGGAGTCAGGAAAAAGACGCGCTGCAGAGCCGAGAGGTCGACGAGCAGCTAAATTGGTCTAGGAGAAATGCGTGAAATGCGCGCAATGCGTGTCACCGCACACAAGCCGACGCATGTTTTTTTTCTTCTCCTTTTTTTTCGTTTCTCTTTTTATCCCTATTGCTCGAGAGGTCATCTCTCTCTCTATCTCTATTTTCTATCTTTCTCTCTCTCACTTTTGATGGAGGCGATCGGATCGAAGCAATGCTAGTCCGAGTGCAGCGACTGCAGATCGATTCTCGGAGCGGCTCCGCCATCCCTCTCTGCACTGCGCCGAGTGTCGTCGCGATTTCGTCCCGTCCTACCCGCACCGAGTACTTACCATTTCCATCCAACGACGCGTGCTTCTATACCAATACTAATAAGGGAATTTCGGCGCCACCTCCTGTCCAGCCTTTGAGCAGCAAAACGAAGCTGCGGCACAGCTGCGATCGACCTTCGACTCACCTAGGACTCGACAGCGACTCTCCCGTCCAACGATAGCAAGCAAGGCAGAATAGCTCACCATGCCGCTGAGATTTCGCATCGTCAATTATTTCGAGACCTACGTGAGTATCGCAGCGAGCTGTGCCCAAGTGTGTGTTGCGCCCTTCGGTGTACCATCGTCGAATGTAAGCGCGTTCGTTGAGTTCGAAGAGCAACGACAGCCGTATGCGCTGCTTCAGTGAGACGATCGATTTTCGAGGCTCGTCGAACGATCGTCGCTCGACGCAGCGTATAGCGAGCAAAAAGGTACACGTGGAAAAAAGCTCGAAACGAGGTTGCGATTCGAAAGGCGACAACGAGTCGCGCCAGTCGAACTACTGCACACGCTAGCCGAACCTTATTCCGCATCGATCGATGCACAAAACGATCGATATGGCTCGAATCGGTACTCGAGCCACTTGCGTCGTCGTCGGAGCTCGGCTGTATTTTCGCTATATAGCCACGTGCGCGCGTGTGTACGCAGAGGGACGGAGGGAGCGAGAAGAGCGAGGAGAGCGAGGAGAGGGAGACAATGAGAAGCCGCTGCCAATAGTAAAACCAGGCCAGATTTCGCACTGGTCCGATGCGAATGTTGAGCTCGGCGAGCAGAAGGCCGAGTCGCGGAGGTGCAGGCGAGCTGCTCTATACGGCCTATTACTATTACTAGTCGATCGACTCTCTCGTCGCGTTGGAATCGTAGCTGCGCTCTTCGTTCGCCCAAGCTGCCTGCCTTTTGTTTTGCTAGCCTCAGTTTATCCGAGTGTGCGATTATCGGCTCGATTCGAGGGTGATTTCGTGAGCTGTCGGCTCGTTGGACCTCGTAAGCTTTTTTCCCTCTTAGGCTCCCCTCCTCCGTCGGAGTAAATACTCGTCCTCTTCGTCGCCATGACGAAGCGTCACTCGGTCACGGTCGAGCTTAAGAGGCCCGGCTGTCACGTGGCTTGGGGCATCAGCATCGCCGGTGGATCTGATTTGGGCACTCCTTTGATCGTCACCCGTGTAAGTCTCGATTTTTCTCAATCTCTTTTCGTGTCGTCGTGCTGTTATCCCGCGAGCTTTACGATTCAGCCTCAAAATTAATGAACGATTGAACGGGCTGAGCGTGTAAGCGCGTATCCGCGAGGCTGGCTGCGGCCGTCCGATCGGGCCTGGCCAGGCTACGACCTCGTCGTACGCTCGGCTGTATCGACTACGAGCAACCCAATAGAGCTACTATTGCGCCGCGTTATTGCGTCTCGAGCTTGGATCGTTTCATTTATAATACTGCGAGTCGTGTGTACGAATGCCCATTGTGACTCTGATATACATGTGTGCGTGCGATATACGCAAGCATCGGTGGGTCAAAGTCGCAGCCATGAAACGAATGCGGTGTAATGGACGCGTGTCTATTTGTCTGTTGCAGTCTGAGAACGAGCAGTTGCAGAAGGGTGACGTGATCAAGAAGATCGACGAGTACGACGTACGAGACTTGAGGCATGTAGACGCCCAGACATTACTCCAAAACACTTGCTGCGTTAAGCTGGCCATCGAGAGGTCGGCTAATCACAATTGTACCTTTGTCTCGAGATTAGACGAATCATGGTCATTATCGGCTTCAGACATTCCTTCATTTTGTAGCGCAGGTCGTGGTCGGGTCGTCGTCGGGAGCACCTAATTGCAACGCGTATCGGTCATTCGTCGTTGCGATCGCGGCGGCCACGCGCACAGCTCGACAGAGGGCATAAAAAGCCGGAAGCCGCGTAAACGGGAGTCCCCGAGGAGGCTCGACACAAGTCGCTCGACTCGAACTCCTCGACGATAGCCAAGTCGAGGCTCGGATGCGCGCTAAAATTGCACCAAAGTCGTGTCGTTGCACGCTCGTACCGGCCGCGCAATCGATCGAACGGCACGCGCCGATTGCACCAGCGAGACTCGATCTTTCGTTACCAGCTATTATCATACGTAAACACGAAATTAGGTCAATTGCGCGTCTATCGTCTATGTCATCGCATTAATCTTTTTGCCTACTGTACGACACGCAGGCCCAAGAGTCAGCAGTGCCCGGCGTTACTGCCCAAGAGCCCGATATCTGCGCCCCAACCCATCGACATACCGGAATATCAGCGAATATTTTCACCGAGCCAGTTCAACCCAGCCCACGAGCATCTGGACGAGGTGCGCGAGGAGCGATACTACCTATCCCAGGTTGGTCCAGCTGCCCTCGATTGTCTGAATAATTTTTTGAATAATCGGCTTCGAACAGCGACTCGGAACTCTAATTGCACCGGTCGAAAGCAACGGCGTTGCTGCAAGTTCAAGGTCGCGGCTGCTTACGCTTCTCCTTCTCGACGCGCGCCAGCTAGCGCCGCGAATAATAACGCAGGCGTATATATACGCCGCCGCTCGTGCAACTTGCCTCGAGCTTCTATAAGCGGTCCGCGCAACGAGTTACGTCGTTCGAGTCGTTTGCTCGTGTCTGCTACATAAACACGAGCTCCGCTCTCTATCGGAAATTGTATTTGCTTTTTCAACGTGCCACAGGCAAAAGGTCAAATTGCACATGGCTACTATTAACAGCTCTGTGAGCTCATTTTTTTCAAGTCTGTTTTTTATTCGCTTTTCATCGCGCGCCATTAGCTCGAATAAATATAAAATTTTTATTTTCGAGCTTCTCCGACATTTGCCGTGACACGCATTGATCGAATCTTACTACTTGCAAAAGAAAGAGAGTCGAAGCACGCATTTTACAAGAATACCCTATTTGCGCCAAAGTCATATTCCACCGAAGAGCGAAGCTGGCGAAAGCTGCGCGCAGATCGGAAAAACGCGTGAGATAAGCTGCCAGAATCGTCGGACGGGCAAAGACCAAGAGAGAGAGAGAGAGAGAGAGAAAGGGAGGTATATAGAGGGGAGTCGCGAACTGTCAGACGCGCTAGCCGCGATGACGCGCGACCAATCGTGGGAGGTGCGTATGCGAGCTTCCAAACGCGGATCCTTGGAGCAGCGCTGGCTCCACCGCGCGACTCCCGAGACGCGCGAGCTTTAGTACGTTTCTCGTCGATCGTAGCACTCGGACACTCGGAGCTGTTTTTTTTTTTTTTTTCGTCGCGTGTATCTTTTCGCGCTCCCACGGAATCCCGAGCCGCGACCAACGTCGATCTGTGTGCCAAGTTCAGCCAGTGCGATACAGTGCGCCGCCGAGTCCAGTCGAGGCGAACATGACTTTCTACAGGAGATCCCACACGGCCGAATACGAGCCCTTCCCGGCTCCGCGTAGTGGACCAAGCAACGAAAAAGAAGCCGCCGTCTACTGGGTAGATATATAAACATACGCAGCTTCATACGCATAAATGACGTTTTGCAGCGAGCGTCGAATTTCGACGTAGCTTTTGAGTTGTTCACTCGTGATCGAACGCAAGCGCCAATTCGGATGCATCGAAATTGGATTCGCTGCAGAGCGACTATAAATCGTCGGTGCGCTGCTCGAAGTTGAAGCGAATCGATGATCGGCGATCGGGAGGAGGCGAGGCGCGTTCGATGGTTGGGTCGTTGATCGGCTACGCGTCGGAAGCAACGAGCTGCAGCGCTGTTCTCTTTCTGCGCAGCTTTATCCGCCAGCGGCAGCTGATTTACCGCGAGCAGTTCCGAAGCTTTCGCTATTTTCGTTGGGTAAATCTGGGTTATTCAAACACGCGTAGTGCTCGCGGCAAAGGCCAGTCGCTCGTCCGCGCGCGTATCCTATATCTATCAGTCAACGGGCCGTCGCCGCGTAAGGCGGGCAAAATCGAGCGTGCCGAGAGAGACGCGACTTTTTTTCTTCGCGCGAGCTTCGACCTTGAATCGCGATAGTTCACACGCCCCGAGCGGCGGATAAAAGCTCCGTGGCTCTCGAATAACTCGCTCGAGCGAACAAAAGCGAGCCGCTTCTACGCGACTGCGCTTGTTCGCGGAAATGTCGGGACGCGCTGCGCTTTTGACGTCTCTGCCATCCACCTCACGAGCTGGCAGCTGCTGCAGCAGATGTCACTGAAATAGCTAGCTGCAACGTCAAAAGCGCAGCGCAAACCTCATCCGCGCCAACATTTCCGACAAATAAAGTCAACAATTTTAGAAAAGACTCGAAGAATGAGCCGCGAACAAGACGCATGAGTTGCCCTTTTGAGCTACGCCCCACCCACCCGCGCACGCTCGCGTTTGATTGCGCGAATCGAAAAAACTGCCTCGAGAACGGCTCGTCGCGCGTTATTACAGTTGGGAAATTTGTCAAAAAACGGGAGCAGATAGAGGTGCGGCGCAGCTCTGGCCCGTTTTATTTTCAGCCAGCGCTGAAAAAGCCGCTACACGCTATATTAATTGGAACGATGGATGATGAAGCGTCGTTCGCGCGTCGAGGCATGATGAAGCGTCGTTCCACTTTGATGGGCTTTTCCATGGCTTTGTCTCGAACCCTGAAAAAAATCGCGAAAAATTCGTTTCGTGTGTCATTAAACCTGAAAATTCACAAAGCCGCAGAATATTTGTTTTTTTTTATACAGCAGATTTAAGATTGTATTTTTATGTCATGTGAAACGAATTTTCCACGATGAAGTAGATTGGTCTCATTAGTATAGGCCATTTGAAAACCTACCGCGTACATGAAAAATCGGTTATCGAAATAATTCGTGGATTAACTGGTTGCAGCCGTACCGCACGACGCCACTGGTCTTGCCTGGCGCCAAAATCAAGAAGGATGCCCCGCTGGGTGAATGCTATCTGCGACACCATCCCAACCCCATGGTTAGAGCGGCACCTCACCATTATGAGGTGGCGAACCCAGAGGTGGCCATGAAGCAGAAAGTACGTACATTCAAATATCAGATCACACCGGTTGTTCAAGAGCTTCGAATCGAGCCCTAAAGGATCTGTCACGAGTCGCTTGTTGTCAAAAAAAAGAGCAAAAAAGTGAAATCCACGATTAGAATTATAAGTGCTAGGTGTAGAGCGCGTTTTTGTTTTCCAAAAATGTCTCCTTTATTCACACTCTACGCACGCTACCTACAAAATCAAAACAAAAATGCTCTTGATATATACTTGAAGCGAACATTGTACTATATTCCTTTATTACATATGTTTCATAAATTGTACTAGGTGGCAGACACTGTAATTCAACGAGTTTTCAGTCCCAACGATTTACCAAAGGTTTGCAAAGTCAATCACTCGCTGAATAAACGCTGCGCTTCATTTTCGAATCGCTTTTCGCTTTTTAACGAGAATAATAATCGCTTACGCAACCGTAATAATTCTATATTCACTCAAATATTACAATAATAACTGCAATACACACACACGCTGAAATGTCACTATGATTCTCTCTCAAAGAGCCAAACTAAATCATTTGGGATGGCTTCAGCTGCAACATTTCATTGAGAATACATATATATTTATTTTTAGCTCGCTTTCGAACTATTCAAAGTTTAAGCTCGTTATACTTGGCTTTCAAGAGCAAAAATTTACAATTTATCGAATTTTACATTGGATTAAATAGGTGTGTAACTACTACAATCATTGTATTTTTATAAAATTTTAATCGATATTGATTCAATTGCCATGAACATGCGGCCAAGTATCAAGTAATCGACAAAAAGTTTTGTAACAACTTCATCGTTATTCGCATTTGGTTTTTTTTGTTCATTTAAAATAATAATATTATAATATTGATGGTAATAATAATAGAAATAATAACAATGGTAATCGATCAACAATAAATTCCGTGTTATTTCAAGTAAAACTAAACGAAGAGTGGATTTGAGTTTTTTTCTACATCAAATGATTCAAATTTATATACTTTTGTGCATGTATAAACATGTTACACATACATATAATATATATTTAAGATTAATGAATAAGCATTCGAAAGCTAATGGAAGAAAATATCCGCATACATGATGTTTTTCTCGGCAGGTCGTAAGCAAGCAATTCAATTCGCCGATCGGTCTCTACTCAGAGCAAAATATAGCAGACACTATAAAATGTCAGGCCTCGGCCATACCGTAAGTAATCGCATATAAAAAGAAAAAATCTATTATAGTCAACTCAGTATCACGTTTTTCATATGGCATTCATATACATATCATCTGCACGTAATTATCACCACATAAGCGCCTCATTATCATTACTCACAACGAACTGGCGGCTAAAATTATTATTTATGCACAAGCGAAAATTCGCCTGAACGTATAAGCACAGCCACGAGACACGTTGATCAATCAAACGAACGTAAGAATAGCACAGCATTCATCATCATAATACCACGGCCATGGCATTCAGTTCATTGTACTTTTTTCTCTGACTTTGTTGCTTGAAATTTTTTGTGGCTTACTTTTGTTACTTACTTGCTTATTAATAGATTCATTCAATCGCGATTAATTCCAAACACTCTGGAAAAATATTGCCAATGGTATGAAATTACAGGCACGTTTTGATATCAGTGGGCAGGATTATCATCGGGTTAACTTTTTTGGCATCAACTTTATTGAACTCGTTAATGTTTGCACATATGAAGCGGTGTTAAAAAAAATCATATGGCTTGCGAACGGAGCGCGTGAACAGAGCAATTTTCTAAATCGTCTCAATTACAGACACCGATGGATAAACAGACAACAGCAAAAATCATAACAACAAACACTGCGACAGTTACAATTGAATTAAAAGAAAACAGTAACCGTGACCGACGAATGTTGTTGTATGATTGCAGCATTTTTATAGACTTTTCCTTTCTAAAACAGAAACGGGAAATCGAAGAGCAAGCGAGAATTATGAAAGAACAAGCGCGTCAATCTGCTGCGAAGAACGTTTGGCGGCAATTTAACAGGCCCCAGTAACAAATCTAAAACTCGAAATTCATCCCAAGACCTTGACATATCACTCAACACTCATAGACAAACTTGGAATTCCTTCAGAGCGCGCGCGTGGCTGCTTAATAATCAATGCTTCCGACTGACACATCCATTCTTTGGCCCATCGTTATTTTGAAGGAAACCTCGAAGTATCATTAAATTTTCTGTCATCCCGTATCGCGTGCGCGCGCGATCCTCCATCCGAAAAAAGCGTCGCTGAAGCGCTTGAACGATCTTATGACCGAATCATCCGATTCGATTCGCGCAGTCTTCGAAACTGCCACGAATGGAACAAAACGAAAACGACTGATAGTAGTGATAAAGGTAAAAAAAGGAGGAAATAGCATGGATCGGTAACATTTGTCCCGTGGTAAAGCTCATACGCACCCTAACTGAAATACCTAACAGAAGCCGCTTGGAGACTGATTTTTCGCTGCTACTGCTTACCGCTAATTGCTTCAGGAGTAGTTCAACGAGTCAAGGTAATCACGGCGTTTTAAAATGCTCAACGCATCCTCTGAACCCTTACCGCATACGCATATCATTTACTTACAAAGCTAACATGGCGTGCGGCTTGAGTGACAATTGTAACACGTAAACATGTAGCCTGTCATGTACTCACTCATTGGCAGCGCCTATGTTTTCATATGCTTTCATCTCGTCAATTAGCACTGTGATGCTCATTACCAAATAAATTAACAACATTTGAGAAGATATCCATGTGAATTATCCGAATATAAATCGAATCGATCGAATGAACGCAGCAAAAAGCCAGCCAAGTGGGACCCGAACTTGAGTGAGACTTACAAGGTTCTACAAGAGGAGGACTACAACGATCAGAGAGCTCAAAAAGTCAGCCAGCCGACGCGCCAGGGACTCTTCTCGCCGGCTCAAAGGCCCAGACAAAACCAAGTAAGAGTCCCACTTGCCTAATCAGTGCGGGGCACTTATGCTTCCTTGTCCAAAAGCTCGGACATTTAATTCATCGCAACTAGTATCGATTATAATGACCTCGTATTGAATTTCATTACAGCCCAGTTCATTCCGGCCCAAGAGTCCCATCGTAAGTAACCCGTACTATACTGTAAGTGTCGTTTCTTTATCTCTTTCTCTGTACTTTCTCACCTTTACCGTATTTGCACGATTTCTTTTCTCTTCGTGGATCGTAATCGAACTTGCGAGTAAACTGTTTCCTGTGGGGCTGCTCGTTACAGGTGAACGTGGTGGATAACGACGGCGAGACGATTCACCAGAGCAGCAGCTTCAAAAGGATCATGTACACCGTGCTTGGAGAAACCGAGTACTAAAAGGGACCGTTGTATACCTCGTCGGCGAGCCCTCCAAGTCCGATCGACTGACGATGATATAAACATACAATACATATATTTTCATGTACACATATTATAAATTGCAACGTCCTTTCGAGACGATCGAGCTCAACGCGCGACTTCACTCTCCAGTCCAGTCCGTTCACTTTCTGCCTTTTCAAAGTAAAACGAAGCAAATAAACTTTAAATTTTCAATGAGCGATTGCATTTGATTCGCTTACTTTTGCTCGAATTAGACTGACGCTTTGCAAACGGACTTGTTGGATTCGAATTTTGCCGAGCCATTTTACTCATATACTGTATATTTTTATTGTTGCAAACTGCGTATACGACCTAAGAAGAGATTTTATTTTTCCACCAGCTACTTTAAAATGATTATCCTTCTATAGATAAATTCTATTTTCTATGCATATATTTATACAAATCGTTAGCGTTAATACGAACACCTTTTTCATATTGTAGTGCTTCGTTCTTCTTTCTAAACGAATATGCATGTGTTTAATGTAAAGTTATACACATGAAACATGCTTTATCGATTATATATCTGTTCAATTATTTGAGCTTATGAAATTAAATTGCTTAGTCAAGCCACGAAACAAATGTTCGGGTCCATGCACGCATGTGCGCTCACGTGCCTACCAACGAACCAAGATGTACTCTGAAGATTTAACGACAATTATTTTAAATAAATGAGTTTATCTGATCGGCTGTTTTTTATTTTTCTCGTACTTAATGTTTAATTTTGAATCGTCTTGATGTGGGAGCGATTGGTGTTAAGGATATTTATTTTTTATAATAAAAAATTGTTTCATGGTGAAAGAATTAATTTAATATAAGACTGAATATTCTCTACAATTATCAAGTGCACTGTAAATCATTTTGCTTAGCCAATGAAATATAATTTTGTAACTAATTTTTATACAATATTCAGCACCGCACAAAAAATTTAATCTTGTTTTACACATAAGTAAAAGTTACATTATTGCACACGGTCATTTTCCACATTTTTTTCTTAATGTTGGGAAAAAATACACCTACGTGCGTAATAATCATCACCAAAATCTCATGCCAGAACATACAATTTTTCTATTTTAAATTATTTAACTAAAGTCAATTGTTTTTTAACTTAAATATTCATGTTTACATAAATATATATATATATATGCCGTAAGTTGCCAGTTTCGGGTCGTTCTATCAAGTCTGATCCCGCCAGAAATAACCAACGACCAGCTGGCGAAGCGCCATTGCATTCCTGCTTTTACGAATTAATTCATTAGACTATTTATTTTTTGACAATTCTAAGTAAAAGTCAGTTGAACTCAACGAAAAACGTATTCATCATAAAACGTTTACCAGAATTCTTGCTGGAGAAATACTTTATTTCAGTAGATGACGCGAAGAGATGAATATAAATTATATAACTTACAGTAAAAACGTCATCAGTTCTTCCGTCATTTTACTGTACATACAAACGAGCTATCGAAATACAGATACACGCACACTCATACACACCCACGCACGTCAACATCGTCATTAGTAATAGTAACCGTAGTGACAATACTTAGCAGGTGCTAATGTACGAAGTACTCTCGCGGAGAGATAATCGTTTGACGTTCTTGGTTTTAAAACGGTTCTGCGCCTAAGTACGCATTTTAAAATAATCATAACACGACTTTTAATTAATCATTTTGAGTTACAGAATCTGATAACAAGCACCTTATTTTGCTCATCTTACAAATTCAGCTTTTTAAGATTAAAATAATACTATGGTTATAAAATTGTATCGCATATCACGACAATTGCTTTACTAGAGACACAAATCAAATACATCTGATATGAAATTTTACTTTAAACGCATAGAATGAGAACGCTTCATTTTTGTGTTTTTTTGCTCTTATTTAAATGTGACAGCTATGAAATCACCGACACTTTATGGTGCGGCGAATCACAACATATTCATCAATTGTTACTTTCATTAAAAATTAGTGATTTTACAGGCGTCTTTCGTTGGTTCGTTCTATTACTTTAACTCTTGTGGTGACGTCGATAAACTTGTTTGCAAGGCATCATTGAGAATAAATTAATTTATGATGAGTATCACTGGGATGCTTGATATAATTCAAATGTAGTTGGCGCAGTCGTTTATCTTTTACAATCATTAAAACAGAATTGGTAAAATTGAATAATCTAGTTTTTTTTACAAATTTAGTGAGTCATCCAAGAGCTGTTTCAGTTCTCTGAGATGCTGCATTTTGCTGCCAGTTGCTGGCGATGCTGCTACAGGACGGCCAGCGTACCTATAAATAAAAAAAAGAAGATTTTTCTTTGTTCAATGCAACAACGAGAATAACGCAACTATTTGGAAATAGAACAATTTCGGTGATTCGATGAAGGCTATAAACCACAGAATTACCTAAGTGTTCGTTCTAGAGTTTCTGATGATTCTTTCGAATCGGATACTGAAGAGGTGTTTGTCTTTTGGGATGAAGAGAAGAGGCTACTCAACCATCCTTCATTGTTTTCACTTGCGCTCGGTTTACTGCAACACGGCCCAAATTTTTCCCACAAATTTATTATAGAACCCCCGATTTCTACTCATTACAATATTTACAAGAAAGTTCACACAAAAACGTAAAAATATATCTGATGGCGTCCACAATCAATCTGTTAAAGCACGTGAAGCGATTTTTTAAATGTAGCGCTAGTTTTTCAACTCGTCGTGTCCGATGCATATGAAACTGGGAAAAAATCTATCGAAACACGTACATAAAACATTTTACCAGCCCCATACGCACCGATCAAGACGAATTTAAAAAGTATGGAAACATAAAACAATGTCCCGGGGTAGCGCTCCATCTTATCGATCGAGGACGTTGTCATCTATATCAGTCGTAAAAACAAGGGCCGTACTCACAGTAAACATGAGAAATAATGTGAACGTGGTGTAACATATATCTCACTACGATCGAGTCAAAAATAATGACTACTCAACATGATAATGCAAAGTATAACGCATAAAGAGCAAAATTCGTTAAAACTATTTGAAATTAATAATTTTTTGAACTTACGTTACTGTTCGAGATCCAGTGAGTGCCGTTTGGAATCTAGGTTGGCAATAGCCCCATGCACCTTGATTCTTGTGTTCTTCTTGAGACCAAACTAGCTCAGCGTTAGGGTATTTGGCACACTCTTTTTTCACCAAATCGAAGGGGAACGGAGAAATCTGAATTTAATCATGAAAATTATATTAGCTCAAGCGTTGTAAAATTCTTATAATTATTGTATCGATTCGATTGTACCTGTTCTACCCTGGTAATAGCTATAGAGTCGTCCAATTTTCTTTCAGCTCGAGCCTTCTTCAAATCATAGTAAACTTTACCGGTACAGAAAATAAGTCTTTTAACGTTATCGGGATTCTCAGCGGCAATTCCTTCCTCTGGAATAATCCTAAGGAATTCTGTTCCTTCCAACATCAGATCGAAGCTAGAGCGTGCTTCTGGGTGTCGCAGAAGCGACTTGGGTGACATAATGATAAGAGGTTTACGGAAAGGTAAAGCAATTTGTCTGCGCAGAATATGGAAGAGATTTGCCGGTGTCGTGCAGTTTGCTACAATCCAATTAATATCATGAAGTTGGCGAACGGCAAATTCTTCGCTTTCAGGTGGGAAATAATCGGGATCATCAGCTGACATTTGCAAGAATCTCTCGAGACGGGCGCTTGAGTGCTCAGGACCCATTCCTTCGAGGCCGTGAGGTTGAAGCATAACGAGACCAGATTGTCGAACCCACTTGGCTTGACCACTGCTTATGAACTGATCTATGATGCACTGAGCAGTATTGTTGAAGTCACCAAACTGAGCTTCCCAAATAACCAAAGCATTTGGATTGGTCATTGAGTATCCCAGTTCGAAACCTGCAATAATGCAACAATAATGTTTTTAAGTGATTTCATCGTTCATCAAGATCGCACGAGTAAAAATTAAAATGAGAGAAAAATTGCGAAGAAGACGAAAGCAAAGGTTTAAAACTTACCGAGTACGCCATATTCGGACAAGGAACTGTTGCAAACTGTGTAAGGAGCTTGGTCCGGGTATAGATAATTCAGTGGTCTATACGTGGCTTTGTCAACATTCTGATGGTGTAAAACGTGATGTCTGTGAGAGAAAGTGCCTCTTTCAACGTCCTGACCAGATAGCCTAACGTGTATACCTTCTTTGAGAAGAGAACCAAAAGCCATAGCTTCTCCGAGGGCCCAATCGATTTGTCGTGACTCGACCATTTCCATGCGCGCCTTGAGGATACGTTCAATACCTTTGTGAACGACGAATTCGGCGGCATTGGGTGGTGGCGACGAAAACCTCTTACCGATATGAACGAGCGTATCTTCCTTAATGCCGGTGGGCGACATTTTCAATGGGTCTTTGCCTTCAAAGAAGCCAGACCACGGCGAATCCAGCCAATCCTTGTATTTAATGTGAGTTTCTTGTTTAGCGTTGGAATAAGCTTCCTCGCAGATTTTATCGTATTTGTCATTGACCGCCTTGACTTCATCGGCGGTAACAGTGCCCTCTTCGATAAGTTTCTTTGCATATAGTTCAAATGCTGGTGGCGTTTTCTTAATCTTTCGGTACATAAGAGGCTGCGTGAACATCGGCTCATCGATCTCGTTGTGTCCGTTACGTCTATACGAGACAATGTCAATGACGCAGTCCTTGTGGAAGGTGGCTCGCCATTCAGCGGCAATCTTGCATACATGCATGACTGCCTCAGGATCGTCCGAATTAACGTGGAAAATAGGTGCATTGACGACGCGAGCGACATCGGTACAGTAAGGTGACGAGCGCGAATGTCTTGGATCGGTTGTGAAGCCTATTTGGTTGTTTACGACGATGTGAATGGTACCGTGAGTCGTATAGTCGGGCAGATCCGACAAGTGCATTGTCTCGAAGACAACACCTTGTCCGCAGAAGGCGGCGTCACCGTGCAGAAGCATCGACATGACCTAAAAATTTACAATCCAAATAGAATCGAGCTTCGTAAAGCTATGTGAACTGCCTCATCAAAAGTCAATTAAAAATGACTAACCTTTTTGCCTTCGCCATCTCCGCGATAGAACTGCTCCGCACGGGTCTTGCCTTGGACCACGGGGTCAACGGCCTCCAAGTGGGATGGATTGGCTACGACAGCCAAACGAATGTTTTTATTGGTCACCCGATTCAAACGTTCGATGTACGTGCCTAGATGGTATTTGACATCGCCAGAACCCTGCGTAAAAACAAGCAAGCACAAAATAAGTTAGATGCCTAGCACAGAAAAAAATCTACAAGTAATGTTTAAGCGTACGTCATCGGCGGCTTCAAGTCCAGCAAACTGCGTAAAGATTTGGTTCAAGGGTTTGCGGCAAACGTTAGCTAATACATTGAGTCGTCCTCTGTGTGGCATGCCCATAACAATTGACTCCACGCCCAGCTCAGTGGATTTGTCGATAATTTGTTTCATCGCCGGGATCAGGATTTCGCCGCCCTCGAGTCCGAAACGCTTCTCTGATGACCATTTACGTGCCAAGAAAGATTCAAACCTGCAAATCATCAATCGATCATCAGCATGTTAATTTTTCATATTTGTTTCCGAGAGAACTTGTGAAAAGCGTCCGATCGCATATATAGGGGCACACAAAGTCACGCGAGAATATTCGAGTCTCAGTTAAATACGCGGTGCGGTTATTTTTGTTTCTTCTCTCTGCGAGCTCACGCGTATCTGGCTCTAGCAGTAGTAGCTTTTTTTAAATGCGTAGCAGCCAAGGTCGGCACGCTCGAGAAAACAAACGTTGCCTTGCGCAAAAGTGAAATGAATAAATAGAATGAAAAAAAATTTACATGGTTGCGCGCGACAGACGAGCGAGGAGTAGTCTCTTGTCGTCGCTGGTCATCTCCATGACTCCAGGTGTTTCCATCTTTTGCCTTATCCAATTGCATTGTTCGAGTGAGTTGATGAACATGAACTCGACGCCGATATGTTGACAATAAGTTTGCTCGAGTCTCTTTAAAATTTCACGAAGCGGAAGAGATTTGTCTTTTCCACCGATGAAAGTAGTTGATGGAAGTTTAAACACTCGGTCCATATCCGATTCCTCTGTGTAAAAGCATGGATGGAAAATAAAGTGATTAAATCGTTCACTCTCTTATTTGTGGACTTTCAATGGTTTCAATCACTGACTTTTATAAGAAATAATGTATATATTTACATCCGTACACCTTTCATAGCTGAATAACATCATGATTTAGATTGTAAAACTAAATGCAAGCTTGACACTGATACTGAAAATAGTCCAATCGCACCTGTCGCACATGATCGATTCATCGTCAACTTTTCCAACACACACACACAAATTCATTCACTTTTGTCGTTTTTGTTTCGCATGCATTACTTACACGATTGTTAATTTCAATGACACGCGGGCGCAAACTCGCAAACTTACACATATGTATACCACAACGAGTTAGAAAAAAATCTCAAATTAACATAAGATAACGTGTAGTTAAAATTTTTAATCTTTCATGTGATGGTACAGGATAGTAACAGAGAGTGTAATGGAACTGGTCGAAAAAATTCGATAATATAAAAAAAATATGAAATTCACCGTAGTAGACGTTCGAAAGAATGAAAAATGGCGCTTTAAAAAAATGTGAATAACACAAAAAAACGAAACAAGCAATAACATGAAATGAGAAAAAACACCCCAAGTCTAATTACCTCAAAGTGTGGTGTAAGATTCATCTAAAAGATTATACGTTTTTTTCTGTTTAAAGATTTAGCTTTTTTTACTTACGATTCTTCAAATGTTTACAAGATTTTGAGAAGTAGCTTATGTAATATATATTCTTGACCCAACAATTGACATAGCAAATTATTTAACCAAGCACCCAGAGCTACAAACTTCTTTTACCAAAAATACAATAAGAGATTTTTTAAAACCCAGATATCAATGAAAGCTTTATGCTTTTCTGCAGAATTTTCAGCTAATGTGGCAAAAACTAATACATACTCTGTGTAAGTGCAGCTACTCGATTTCGAAGGTCCTGGGTATAAGTAGTTCGAGGACCGTTCCTGTCTGTGAGAACATGATTAGAATTGCGACGATTCGACTGCATTACGAATTAACCGATCGACTTTTTTTTCAACTCTCAAAAAGTTTACCGACGAACGCAATTTTTGCGAAGACAATAAATGCCGTCTCAATAAATGGTCGTTAACGAAAAAAAATAAAGTTGTGAAAAATCAAAAATCATGATTATCGGAACGGAATATAAAATAGAAGATGCATATAGGTATAATTTAACGTTAGGCGATGGAAATAAAAGAAAAAAAATCGAGCGGGACGAATATCAATAATGATTGACACTCTTTCGTTGATGGACAAACTCATTTAAATAAACATAATGTATTGAATTCATACACAGCTCTGTTTATGATGCATGTCCGGGATAAATTTTTTTTTGGTTAAAATTTGTTCAAGCAACGAAAGATTGACTTCATCATCAACTTTAAAGAGTGTAAAGTTGAAAAATGAACGCTACGTTTATGAATATCTCAAAAATTTCATAATTAATAGTATAAGCCTCAATTTATTTTTATTCGAGCTTACCAAATGAGTAATAATTATAGAGCAACTCTTGTGGATGCCTGTCATCGAGATCGGCTGCGTTGATTCCCAGTGGATCCAATTTTGCGATATGATGACCACGAATCTGTTAAATTTTAAGCCCTTTGTCTTTCAACCTCTACTCTTTTCAACTTTACTTATTTTTTGAATAATACATTTAATAACGTTTCATTAAACTTGAATTTTACGTGTAAATCGAGTGATATCTAACAGCGAATTGATTTATCAAGTTTTTTAGCAAAAAATAAGTACATTAAAAATTAAAACATTTCCATTTCTATTAGATATCTACTTCATAGTAATGTCTTTGCTCTGTTTCGTCATCTTCAGTACAGGTAATTATTTATCAACTCAGTTTTCATCTACCTAACACCTCCCATTAATCTGAAATACTTACAAAGAAGCAGAGTGTAAGTGAATTACTTCAGCTTCGAATAATCGTGCAATGATTAATATACTCATGCGATTCATGCAACGCAAGCAAGACAACAAGCAAAAGCTTTTCTCATACACACTCACACACACAATATGGTTTTAGCATTTAAATGAATACTTTTTTAAACTTGGCATTTAACAAAATTGATTGATGCAAAAAAAAAAGAAATGTGATGATTGATTCAAGTATAACTATATGTTAATTAAATATGAGGGAATTAAACCAAATGCTCTTCTCAAATTAATCATGATAATTCCTTGATAATTCAATGGTTATCTACTTATAAAATATATTAGAAATAAGTCTGTCAAAGAAATTAAGATAGAAATTTTCAGTATCAGTGATAAGATAGGTAAGAAAAGTTATAGTTTCTTTAATGATGTATACTGAGCAATGAAATACTGATGCAAAAAGTCATGTTTTTTGGAAATTAGATATGAAAAGATATGATAAGGCAAGTGAAGGTGTGATTGCATGAAATTTGTTGAAAGCAAATTGATTACATTAATCATGCCCATAAAAGAAATGAGATGATTATTTAGATTTGAATGAAATTTGATTTCAGCACCTTCACTGCAGTCCGTTTTTAATTTTTTCTGAAACATGAGACACAATTTCAAGCCTTACCAAGCATATATTGTCGTAGAACCTGTTCAGGAGAACCCTTGCGAGCTGCATAATGCGTGTGTATCAAATCAGTTCTCATTATACCCAATGGATCCAAATCAGCAACTAAGTGACCTCGAGCCTATATATATAAATGAACGAACACCCATAAAAATGTTACCCCTGTATTTTTTTAATGTTTTTTCTATGGTCTAAAAAAAAATTATTTTATACTCAGTGACCAATAATATGACACATGGTTGCGCAATCATTTGGTTAATCCTTGCATTTTATAACAATAAAAGCTCACTATTCACAAAAAATGAACAATTGAAAAATCATTCAAAACTACACACCATTTTGCTAACATGAAATAATAAACTGCAAGATAAAACGTGAATTTAATAGTATATGATGATAAATATTGATGGAATAACTTTTTATAGATAATTAAAAATTAAAATTTCTAATAACTTTTGTCCACATAGGACATTATAATGCCATGATTAAGAACTTTGAATTATGAGTTATGTACGTAGATATGTTTCAATATTGGTATCATGCAACAGCCAATTGCCACTGTTTTAAAGTCTTCAAAAATGGTGAAAAATAATTTAGTGTGTTGAAAATTCATGCCGCACTTAAGGCAGAAAAGGGATGTAGATTATGAGCATAAGCTTATTTTTTTAGGAAAGCAAGTTATTTGTAATCATGCTCTTCATAAGATATAGTTATTGTAAGTTTATTTCGATCCGTGACCTCAATATTGACTAAAAATTAAATTTTATATAAATTTGAAACAGAGTAAAACTTTATGGCAAAAGTCATGTAAATTTAAAATACATTGAAAAGCGGGAGGTGCTGGCTCTTAACCGTCCAAAAATACATAAAACAACAGATGTTTTATCATTCGTTACATTACAATTTCTAATTGATTATTGTTGTCTGTCTTGTACAGTAATTGAGGTTTCAGATTCAATAATAAGTAGCAGGCGCATAAATTGACCTTAGTCAACTAGAAATCTACATCACAAGTATATGTGATAGTACGCTTTTATCAGTCTTAAAGACATTTTTCATGATTGACTGTTATACAAACTTTAAGATCACAGCACTCTCTTACCTGATAAGATCGAATAATGGCTTGTACTGCTAAATGGTCATCAATAACTTTTTCACTTATGGGTGCATGACCCAGCTGCGATCCACCCAATGCTGGCATAATAGAACCAAGAGCTATTTCACTTCCTAATGATGGTGGAGCTTGATAAGCTAAACCAGGCCCAGCACCAGCAGTACTTTGTCGGAAGAAAGAATCCCAAGACTGTTAAAAAAAGTGTAACTATCTAAATTCCAGTAACTACTATTAATAAATAATATATTAATTGTCTTTCAATACATACAATATGTACACTAGTAGGATCTCGTAGCCAGGCATTGTACATTTCTTCCACATAGGAGCTAGTACTTCCATTCAAAAAAGGTTCCGAAGCTGCAGTGCTTTTTCGTCTACATAAATGTGCTGAAACCATTACTTGACTAGTCTTGGAAATTGGATCGCTGCTTCGCACGAGCCATGATGCAAATTTGACTGCCCCACAGACTTTTGGAGCCAGTGGGGTCAAAGTATGAAACGCTGCCCTTGCATTATACATATTTGCCTGAAAAGAGTCAATAATTGAAAAATAAGATAAGCTGCTTAATGAAAGCAAATGAAAAATATCTTGACATGAGCAAAACATTTGCTGTATTGCAAAACAGTCAGTGAAAACAATATTGAGGATGTGTATGAAGTAATGAATAATTATTTGAAAAGCTTTGTTTTATCTTTGCCAGACATGATTTTATCAATGTCTCAACGAATCAATTAGACATTGCATTAATCTATAAATACTCGCTGAAGACATCATTATATTGAAAAGTGATGTAGTGAAAATTTCTTTTGCTGGTATGTAAACAAACCGAGATTTTGATTCGAGTGTAAAAAAAGTACTAGCATACTTGTAGTCGCACTGTCTTGTTGAATTATGCAAACTTGTGTAATAGTTGTAGGCTGCGTCAATTTTTTTCTAAAATAAGCAACTGATTCCGAAATACTTGGATGTCACGCGCGAAGAACGATGATAACATTTGGGAAAAAATGACGGTAAGTATAGATGGACGATCAGCTCAAGTCAGCAAATATACCAAGCGTTATACACACGGCCGATGGTGGGCTAATTTGGATGGCAATTACGAATACGAACTATATATATCGAATCGACTGCAAAAGCAGAGAGGGAGGGAAAACCTGCGTGAGTCGTGAAAGTGCACCTGAGTCACGACGACGCGAGACTCGAGCAAAACTGTATGCGCGCGTGTATAAGTTACAGATGTGTGTATGGATATACGCACAGAGTCGCTGCATTGAAGTCTGGCGGTGTGGGTGTACAGAACAGAAAACTTAAAGCAGTTAGTAGAGAGTTGCTTGCGCGCGCACAAGCGTTACGACGACAACTCGGCGCTAGTTAGTTGGCAGGCCAACTGCTCTAAAAGAAACGAGAACGATAGAGTGTAGACGGCGCGAAAAAACCATGTGACTATAGTGACACACTTTTACGCGTCTCGGTGCAACTTTTTGCCGCGTTCGTCTGCTGACTGCTGAGCACACAAACCGATTGCAGTCAGAGCAATTACGTTGCATCGCAAAAAATGAGGAAGAGACGGCCTATGCGTTTCTGTACCTGCTCAAGTGCTCAATGCTGCGTATCGTGAATGCTATGTGGCCGTGTCGTAAATGCTGTTACTCGTGCGGATGTAGGCTGCTTGGCGACTGCGGAACACGAGCTCTCGGGTCTCGGACGAGAGGCACGTTTTACGCTGCACTAGTGCTGCCTGTACAATTGCCGCCGAAACGTCGAATGAACGCAGACGATATCTGCACGCGGTGGTGGCGGTGGCGTCGACAAGCTATACCCACGAGGAATGCGCGCGCGCGACTCGGGACTCTGGCTGCTGGCAATGGGCTTTATCTTGACTTTTTATGGCGCATTATACCTATATACCTATATAGTTATGGCTGCGTCAATGAGATAATCATCCAATATTTCAAGCGCAACGTATGAATCAAACTGACTATTCGATTTTGTTCATCACTGAACTCGTGCATATAGCGTCGACTAGAAATTTCGGCCGAGTCGCAATTGAGCCGGTAATCGCCTGAACCGAAGAACTAATTATAGTCTCGATAGTCGATACACTCGATCGCGAATCATCCCTCACTAATGATTTTGCTGTCGAGAGGTACGCATCAAGAGTTGAATGAAATTGCACCCGAGTTTTCGAAGAGGGATCGACACCTCAGTTTTAGCTTAACGTCATATACCTCGCGTACCCGTCGTAAGTCGTTACACAACACTGCTCGCGCGGATGACTGTCGTGACTATAGATACACGTTCCTATATACTGATTCGTGTGTACATACAGCGAGAGAGGGAGAGATAGAGACCTATATAAATAGGCACATTCGTAAGCAACAAAAAAAAAAGTTGTAGCCAGCTAAATTGATAATGTAAGCGTCGATAAAAGAGAAGGAAAAAAGTGCGAGACGTAAAAAGGATTGACAAAGGTCGATTGGGCTCTGAATTCGCAATTCGACTGCTTATACTGCTAACAGCATGTGGTGCGCGGGGCTGATGGGTGCAGTCAAGAGGAGCACTATTAAGTCGCGCATGAAGGAAAATTTGTCATTATGACGTTTTTTATTTACTCGCGCATAATCTGCAACCCGACTGAAGCCTGATGAGCCGGACGGATGGAGGTGTCGCTTTATTATACAGTTAGTGACGAGATCTCGCCCGAGGAAACCCACTGATTTTTTGGTTAGTTCGCGGATTTTACATAACTACAGAATTTCTATGTGCGGGTTAATGGAAGGGAGGGGAAGAGAGAATCGCTGACGACACTCTCACTGTAAAAAGCTACCTTGTAGCAGTAAGTATTATAAAAGTTGGAGTATGCGAGATGACGAAGAAGGAAGGACGATCTCTCGAGAGCGGCTGCAAAGTTTCGCTTACCCTGCTTGATGCCTTTGGCTAATTTAGCTGACCGATGTATCTGCGTAAAGTCGTTAATTTCTCGCTCTTTCCGAAGCGAATGTTCGAACGTGTATTTCGTGACGTGCTGTGTCGACCGCACTGGCGGACGTCGATTATCGCGTGGACAACGTCACAGGTGACTCCCGTGACTGTCGATAAAATGTACTGCGTCGGCTGTCGTCTCGTCGATCGTCGTCGTACTGAATACTAGACGACGCTATAGCCAGTGTGAAAGCTGTGCGCCCGGCCGCGCTTGAAATTGGCACTCGCTGCGATGCTGCTTCTCCCGCTATAACGCCTCGACCAACTCGAACTGGTATATATACGTATATATATCTCGCGCACAAGCCACAGCCCACCCGATGACACACATCGACTCGAATACGTTGCAGCTACGCTCAAACTCTATACCTGCTAAAGCAGTTTCAGCAATTATTTTGTTCTGCAAGAGCTGCAGACTGCTCGTGGAGAAAGCTAACGCGAGGGCAGTGAGTTACCTTGGCGGTCGCCAACTTTTATTATACCTGTAATTTTATCGACGGTCGATCGTCTAAACTGCACTGCTCGATGCATTACACAACTCGCAACTTGCGACCTCTGGTGAGTAGCTGAAAGAAACGAAAATTTTTGAAAATGCCGTTTTGGCCTTTTACATTCAACAGACAGTTTTTTTTCAAATTTCGAATATATTTTTGAGCACGAGATTATTATACAGATATGTAAGATTGTGTCGCACAAATAATTCTCTTCTTAAATGGCTGGGTTGCAAATATGAAAAAATAAGAGTCAAGTAATGAAGTTAAATTCTGGTTCCGATTTTCAGCTATAAGTGCTATTATAATTTGAATCGATGTTTCGAGTAATTTCGGAGTGAGACTGCTCAAATGTATAGCGTCGGTCGAAGAGGACAATCGCGTGGACATACGGCTCGAATGAATTGAAAAAAAGATTCGATCGAAGCGAGGTTTACGGGGTCTCTTGGCGGCTCGAGTCGGCACGCGTATTGAGCGCGATCGTGACGTTGGCCAAATCAGCCTAACGGAGCCTACGTCGATCGTCGCGACACTTACTGCAATTTGTGCAGCTACATGTCGGAGCATTGCGCTCATGGCTCCGAGACAGAACAGATGTCAGCTGGAGCAGTTGTTCGTGTGCCCAGAATGACATAAGGTCTCGGTCGGTCATTATCAATAAATTTACCCACTTTTAGCTTTCCTATATGTATCGGGTCTACATCGCCTTGTTGACGTTTTTGCCGTCATCATCAATATCAACAATCCATCAATGAGTATAATATGCAGTTGCGACAATCATCTCATGATTCGATAGCCCGCCAATTGTCTGAAATTAATCATGGAAAATCGAGTATTTCTTTCGGCCAAGTATTATCATTGTAAAGCGTTCAAGTAGTTCAGAACTATCGCCACTCCGAGAAGCCGGTACGAGGCCGGTTGGCAGGATTAAAACGTACATTTGGATGGTGGTCTATAGTCATGATGCGTGGGTGGGGGAGGATTCTTCTCTCAGGCTCGCTCTTCCGTCTTTTTTTCATAAACGCGCGAGCTTCAGTGAGAGGCCCATAGTGAGAGGCATACGCACATAGAAGCTACGAGCACGTGTAGATGGAGTTATATCTATCTATAGGCGAACAGCGAATATTGCGGGTGGCGAGCGGGGGAGGGGGAGGGGGGGGGCAAAGCAACAGCGGCTCACTGCGCTCATCCGTGGAGCTCTTACAGCACATCGTAAGACGAGCTCGATGCCGAAGAAAGTCGTAGGCATATATGTACGCAGCGGAAGATCGCTCGTCTCGTTAGTTGCCGCTGTGGGAGTGGGAGACGCATCAAAGAGAGACTCGTGGGCCTTACTGGAGCCACCCACACCACTGCTCGCCACCTGCACATGCTCCAGCACGTGTGCGCCTTGCACGATGTGCGGCGTCGCTCGTAGGCAGTAGCAGCATCAGCGACTCGTTACCGCTAGCCCAGCAAAGGCCACCTAGGTCAGTTCTGGACGGGAAAATACTCGGCCGGGTGTCCTCGGAGATCAACGGTTGAATGCTCGTCGTTTCGCGTTGTGCGCGAGTGTCAGTGCTAGACTTTATGATATTACATATATACATACTAGAGTAACCAAGACGAGAGGCAAAAGAGGAGGAGAAGAGCGAGCCAGTGTATACGTGTGGGTGCTTGTGTGTATGTGTGGTGGAGCTGCGCTGTTGCTACTGCTGCTGCTGCTGCTGCTGCTGCTGCTTGGCTATATCGAGCAAACCACCCGACCGCCACCCACTCGCCCACCGAACGCCGAGGAGGAAAGAACACCTGCCACCCCCGGAGTTTGCGCGTAGCATCGACCGACGACGCCAGCCTACATCTTGCGATTATTTTTCCATTTACCAACGACACTAACCGACTGGTTTTGCCTAAATGGTGAGTAGTGGCTAGTTAATTATCCCGTTAATCGACGCCCACGCGATTTCGTGAAAACATCTTTGGCAGCCTCGATAAGTCGTAGTTGCGCGAGTGCCTTGGGTTGTTTCAGCTTCGGCTCCTGCAGCCCTGCGTACTCTGCCAATCTCTGCAGCCGTCTATGTGTTGAACCGTACGTGCGTGTGAGTATTTGTGTTTGTGTCTTGCGTGCGTTATAGGCCGAGGTGCATTTGTGCCGCTGATGCCCGCTCTCCGTTCATGTGTGTGAGCCTGCGTGCCCGACTGTGTGCGTGTGTGTCTGTATTCGTGAGGGCACAATCAACCGGTATTGCGCACGCTCGAGTTTCGCGCGCATCAGCGGCCTGTAAATACCAAGTCTGCTATTCTCTCTCTCTCTCTTCGTTGCTCCCTCCCTCTTTCTCCGTTTCCATATACACCGCATGGTCTGGAGCGTTTCAATGTGTTTATGAGATTGGGAATATAAAAGAGTGTATTTGGATACATGTGTGCGTATAGCTGTACATATAATGTTCTTGTGTGTGTGTGTGCGTGTGTGTATGTGTGTGTGCGTACGAGGAGATGCAGAAGAAAAGAAAAAATAGAGAGAAAAGAAAGAGAGAGAGAGAGAGAGAGAGCTAAGCATGAATAAGGCAAACTAGCGTGGGTGTGCATAGAACGGAGCGTCCTTGAACAGATGCCGGTACAGTTTGCTTCTCATCTCGAAACCGTAACACACGTTAAATACTGTAGATTTAGAGCGACAACTATTTCCAAATGATCTCTAGCTGCAGCGTTCCAGGTCAACGAGGCTCGCGTTTTTCGCTGCTCGTTATACGATTGCGCTTTGCTCTTATCGCAAAACTGTAGGCAGCTTTTGACAGTTGGACAAGCGTCGCTACTGGAGCGCAAGCGCGAGTTGGCGATCGATTGCTCGACTTTGGCTCGTTCGGATCTGCGAATTTTCTCTTGGCTGGCGAGACCAACGGACGATGCGAGATATTTTGTCGCTACTCGCTTTGCTCGATTCTCACCGTTGTTTCGTTCGATCGTCTCGTTCTCTCTTTCTCTCGTTGCCTAGGCCGTCTCTATTGAGGAAACTCGACCGAATCGTCGTCGCATTTACATTCACAAGAACGTGAACGCAAGAAAGACGCTCCGCCTGATGTGCGCGACTTGCCGCGAGAGCCGATCGATATCTGATATAACCGTTGGTAAGTTGCGCCGACTGGCCTCTCTGGTGCGCGCGCGCGCGCGCTCCTATACGTATTTGCTTACATTAGCTCGATCCAGCGAAACCGACTGGGGGATGCGAGTGGCTCGTCGCTGGGGGCGCACGAGTACCTTGCGCGACGATCCACGCGCCTATGCATGTGCGGCTGTATTTTCCCTCTCGCGGTACAGTTGACCATCGCCGGATGAGCGCGCGAAACTCGACTTGGATAGGCTCTACGAGCGAGACGTCGGCGTCGCGTGAATCGAGCATTAAAGAGTTGAGACGCCGTCGAGGCTCAACCAAACGGAACGAGTTCAACAATGGCACCGAGTTGTACAATAGTCGCTCTTTTCACTTTCGTCTCGCGTGCATCGGCTCGCGCGAGACTCCAGCTTGTTACTGCGGCTACGGTCGTACGAGCCGCGTACAGCTACCAAGTTTCTAGGCGCTGCTTCCACGTAGCTGTAGGACGGGGGGGAGGGAGGATTAAAAGTAGCAAAGATACGTTCACATGTGCCTATAGTTATGCTTGCGAGAGTAGCGAGCCAGCAAACAATCGATTTCCCAAAACGCTGTTGAAGCGCTGCCGGCGCGATTCAGCTAAATGCCAAAGAAAAGAATCCGAAACTGCTTCCCTGAGCTCGTTTGAGCGGCAAGCCAATTGTTCGCTTTCGAAGAATGAAAAATCTGCCTATGCTGGGCCACCCCCTCAGCCCCTCTATGTAAACGCGCGAACGCGTTCGTTACGTACAGTTAGCGACAAAAGTTTATAGGCGAGCTAGCCTTTACCTCGATCACGAATGCGAAATCACGCAGCGCGTTCCTGGCTTTACGACGACCGCAATCATTCGGCAAATCGATTTTCTCGACTGCGAATTACGTGGCTCCGACCTGTGCTGGTTGCAAGGCGCAGATGCCGCTATAAGCACGATCACGGAATGATTGTGCGTACGCGGAAGGACGCATTGTCGCTCGGCGTGCATTTGCACTGCCTGGGCGGCCGAGGGTGCGCGCGGCTGCTTCGGCTTCCTTCGCACGAGGCAGTTAACCTACGTGCAATATATAGGCAACGCTGCCGAGTCTGTAGCACACGTATATCGTGACGCCTATATAACGACGCATCGCGTGTACTCTGCGCTGCCTCTTGCTCCTGCATCCTCGCCTGGCGGTAGTAATCTAGGGCCAATTTGCTTCCGTCCTACTTTCGTAGCCAAGACTCGAGCCGAGATTACTCTCAGCTTGACGTGCGCGCACCCGTAGCCGCTTGTTCCGTTTCGGCTTTTCCTCTTACATCGTCGTTACAAACACGAACAACGAAACTTTGATTTTTCAGCAGTCAACATTCTTGCAAGACTTGCAGACGCGCCTTTCATACCTAGACGAATTTGTAATGATCGCGCCTTAGTTTGGATTTTAATAAATAGCTTCATATACATATCACAAGAAAAAATCCGAGTCAAAGATCCAAATCCTTATAAAAGGATACATTTTTTTTAAGCACTTATATCTGTCCTTTTGGCGCCCATTAGCTATTTCGTGCTTATGTCAAGTAAATCTGATCATAATAACAATAGTACATCAGTGGGTACAGATAAAACCTCTAATACGTTGCAATAAAATTTCTAACAGTTGCAGAAATTAATTTGAACGATTGATTGAATAACGAAAGATAGTCATTACATTTACTTTTTGCTAATTTGTTTATTTATTAATCTTTTAGAGTTTAATAACATTGTAGTAATTGTAAATCAAGCAAATTGTAGTTTCATGTACTTTTGATAAAAACCTGAGTCGATAAAGAAGCTGGAAATGGAAATAACAACACGAAAGCTTACTTATTTTGTTTTAAAAATTCTTTAATTAATGTAATATATTGTCGCGAGAGTATTATTAATTAAAATTGCTCGTCAACTGACTTGATCTATAAGCGTGCAAATTTAATTACTCGTGGGCAAGCTTAGGTGAAAGATCTCTCGCGTATATATATACTCATTAGCTATCTCAAGTGAAAATTACAGGAAAAAAAGTAAGGAGGAGCAAGGGGGAAGCCGAGGGAGCGTGGACGACAAATCCCCCAGATGAAAATGAACTACATCTTTTAGGACACGTTTCGTTAGTGGCAAGTCTGAGGTGGACTGACGCTACGAGGACAAGTAAGGCAGAATAAGCGCACTTAATGCTTATACTAGCTAGAGACTTGAGAGACAAAAAGCAGCCAGCCTGAAACTCAGCTCCCGTAATTTATACGCACATAATAATGTATGAAAAGAGTTGACTTTCTTGCAAGGAAAATGGAAATAAGAGTGTATATGTGGTGGCAGTAGAAAAAAAGACGAAAGAAAAGGGGAAAGCTCGACTGCAAACTCGAATGCAATTGGCGCTGCGGCAAGCTGGAAAAGAACTCGCGCTCACTTACATTATGTTCGAAAATACAATAGCTAGTGCTGCTGCTATTGCGCGCGTACAATACGCGTCTAAATGGCTTTTTTCATGTCGCATTTTAGGTAGTCGAGGCAGACTGAGTAGGCGAAGCGTGAAAAAGAGTCGCATTTCTGCTTAATCAAGTAAGCAGCATCAAGTGGGCGCAGGTTAATTCGCACGCGCCCGAGCTTCGCAGCCATGGGGCTCGGTAGCGCATCGAGCTTATACGCGCGCGAGTATTTTTAATGACACTCTACCCCATATACTTATAATACATGTGATTATATATATCTATACACATAGAGCTTTGTATAAAGTTGCTAACTACTTTGAGAACTCTTGAGAATAAGGCAGAAAGAGTACAGGTAAAGAGCGGTGGCGGCCCGGCATATAGCCAGCACGTGTAGTGTCCCTGTGGTTGCAGGCAACTTTCTTTTTAACAACCGAGCGATTCAATTCCCCTTTGGGCTTTCTCTCTCTTCTCGCGTTCCCCAGCTCCCTACTTCTTCTTTTTCTCTCTCTCAGCCATGCACTTGCAGTTGTCGCTGCAGCCGAGTACCTCTATGACTCAGTCAAAGTATCAAGCTTTGAATTTAGTTCCCTATAAATTGCGAATTTTTTTAACCTCGCATAGCTTTAGATCTTGCAGGTACATAAAATAATCGCGTAATTAACATTTTTTATTTTTAAAGAACCATCCGTTCCCCTAAGCTGCGCAGGACGGAAACTGGCGTGTGCAGCAACCAACGGCTGCGCACGCGTGTACTTCATTACGAAGCGCAATTAAAGATCTTTTGCAGAGCACAGATGTATGTATACGGGTGGAAAATTATTTCTCTCCCTTTGGCCCCTGCGTTTCGCTCGTCCCCACCGCGTAGACGCCTCGCACGGAATCGTAATTGCATACAAGATCGCTACACTGATGAAGTCAAACAGGCAGCACCTCTTACGAACATGTCGGATTCGAAGAGCAAATGAATGTCGCAAACGATACGCTTTTGTCGAATTTCCCTCGTCGAGCTCTGTGCAGCCTGATAAAGAGTTTCCCTTGTGCAGTGTAAAGTTGATATTTACACGTGCCGGCGAGAGCTCTGTATGTTTTCTTTTTCTACTCACTCGTATCATACGCGATGAAGTTGCGCTTTTGTCCTTTCGCTACACGTTTTTGGGGAAAGAAAACAACAATTTTTAAATAACACGATGAAAAAAAAAATATGAAGAAAACAGTATATTATAATATAAAAAAGTATAAAAATAAAAACAGAGATAGCTCTGAGACTCGTAATAATATTTTTGCTCTTCGTTAGCCACGAAAACTGTTTTAAATAAAAATTTGCATCATACGTATGTAGCTTTCGAGCAAAAGGCGACAATTTCACACGTACTTGCGTACGCGTATGCGAGGATTCATATTTTTATAAAAATAAAGTTGGTCCGTATATGCAAAAGGATATAGGATTTCACTTGCAGCTTGAGCAGAGAAAATTAATATCGCTATGCGCTACGTGAGTATGCATAATCGAGAATGACAAAAAATGAAATTATACACGTCACAGTTTCGTCTATTTGAAATACATCACATGCGTGAATGTTTCGAGTATGTACATAATAAGCGCGCATGCATCTAGCATATTACATCTTTTCAAGCCGAGCAATTTTTTCATAAAAAACACAATTATTCGCGTACATCTTTATCTAAGGATCTCATAGTTGGTTGACATTGTCCCTCGATAAACATTTTTTGTCTGCTTGCAGGTATTTCACACGAAATGGTGAAAAAATCATCGGAGTGAGCGTCAAGACGTTAAAATTTAGGCCAGGAAACATCTGGTCCATCAGAGTTTAGTCCATCAGAGGTATCGAACAGGAGCACCATGCAGAGCAACCGACTCGTGGACGGTTACGAGGACATGTTTCGGGAGATCACAAGGAAACTTTACGGAGATGACCTCGAGCAAAGAAGTAAGTTGAGTCAGAGTTAAGTTTGTGCCTTGCTCTTGGTCCAAGGTCATTATCGAGTAAGAAATCATATAATCCGGCGATCAAGCGGTCGATTTCGCGACGAGGAAGAAAGAAGCGCTCGTATTGGATAGTGAATCGTTATTGGATAGTGGATAGCCACCGCGAACGATAAATTAGCGCATCGAAGCCAAGCAGCGGTGTCGCTTGGGTTATTGGAGCTGCGGCAGGAGCCAGGCGGGAAATTGGAGCGACAATGAGGTTGCTCGGCGGCTATGCGCGCCATACGCGATTCCCTTCAGCACTCTTGAATCACGCGAGGGACGGACGGGCCGGGTGGGAGGTGACTAATTCCTTAGGGACGAGGTAGCATGAGCTGCACATCAGGTAGGATTAGCTTCGGCCGCTGTTAGCATTGATAAACCTAATCGATTGCTCGGTCGATGTACGTACGAACGTTTCAACCGCATCTCTGCCGCTCTAGACGTATAGGCCGCTGCTGCGGGGGTGAGCGCGTCCTACCTATAATGCATACGTAGCAGCAGCAGCAGCAGCAGCCAAGCATCTCACGTTTATGTATGTATATATAGCGATATGCGGCAACTGGCAAGAAACGCGACTGGGAGAGGAGTTTGAGCTTGCTGTAGCAGAACATGGAATTGAATCGACTAATTGCAGTATGAAGCTATTAGCCGAATCCGTTTGTTCTCTCTCGCTCCTCAGCTTTCTCTTTCCTTTCCACTATCGCGCCGAGTCGAGCACAATATCCGCTGTATATACGAGTGCACGTATACGTTCATGGCACGCGTACGAATCGACGACAAGTGCTCCGGGATTATATGTATTTGTTGACCTTATATCAGAGGGTGGCTGCGCAAACGATTGACTAACTTTTGCAGCCGCTAACTATAACTGTCCTCGTTTGATCGATTGGGCCGTTTCAAGACGTACGCGAGGAAATTATCCCACCTCGTCGCACGTATTGCTCATGATAAAGCATTGGTCTATATTGGGTCAGTTGACAGTTTGAAACTGCGTCACACTCGCTATCCTCGGAAACTGTCGCATTGAATCGAAAAAATCCGAGTGTCCCCAAATAGAGCTCGTAATGTTTCTTTTTCTTTTTCTTTTTCAACAGCATTTTCGATCGCGAGCTTGCGAGCCGCAGCGATGTATCCGCAGTGTTTTTTCAAATTTCTTCATGACACTTTAAAAGCTTCACGAAAACTTGCCCAGGCAAAAATGGCGTGATACGCAATCTGAGAAAAATTTTTAAAACTTTCGTCAAATGGCAATACGCGTCACGATATGTCAAAAAAAAAAAAAAAAAAAAGTGAAACAACTTTTAGACAGTGGAAAACATTTAAAAGTTTTACTGCGAGCGTCCACACAATCTTCCTATGAAAATATTCAAGTTTTCCTTTGCTTTCGTATATATAGGTATACATTTTTGTATTCGCACGTACGATCGCGCGTTTAGAGAGCGAAAAGTTTGGTCGAATGAAAAAAAGATGACAAGGTCCGATACTATTTGGTAAACTGTATATCTGCAGCGTCGAGCGTACAGAACGAGTTCGAAACGTCGGTCACGTCGTACGAGAGCGAGGCCCATTCGGTGAACTACAAGACCGAGGAGGACGAGGACGAGGCTGACGCGTCGATGAACAACCGGCCGATGGACGAGGCCACGGGCAACGTCAGCCCCGACGAGGCCGGTCACTGGCACGTTGCCGACGAGCCGCTCAAGGGCACCGATGGCAGTCGGGTGGCCTCTTACAGGGCCTTTAGCTCCACTTGGCGTTGCGAAGAATGCGGTAAGCTGATCGCGACGCATAATTGTACTTGTGTGCTGCATGCGAGCATGGCTGCCTAGTTTGTTCTAACTCACGAGCTTTTTCCAACTTCAAGGAGGCCACCAGCGGCCGACAACTCGGCACCTCTTTCGGCACCTTTTTACAATTATTTTTATCTCATTTGCAGAGTCTGCGCTACAGATATCGAGTGGCAATTGAACTATAAGAAATAGTTTCGATGTTATACCTCTATAGTGACCGAAAAATCGGCCTCTTTCCAAGTTGTGCAATAAATGATTAATGAGTGACTTTTATACGTATTTGTTAAACAGGCGAATACATAGACGGAGAGGCACGAGAAATGGCGGAACACTTTGTGGAAAACCATTCGAATCGCATAGAGAAGGACGGCGAGATGTTCAACAACGTTCAGCTAGAGGATTTGACGGATTATCTGGGAAAAATCGTCACGGTATCGAGCAAATACCTGAAAAGTCGAACGGAAGCTGCGCAAGCCAGCGCCGTGACGCTGGAAGCGCCGGTAGTTCACAACAACTTCATAATCGCCGAGCTACCCGTAGTTGCTGCTTCGCAGATTTTGCACCAGAGCGAGGATCTGGTAAGTTGATTAATGGCGAGTCGAGATCGACAAGATTCGACGCTTTTTCAGCTCCTTATTTCGGCGAAACTAGAAGAAGAGCCGGCGTAAAGCGTAGCAGCCCTCGTCAGAGCTGCAACGGTTACGCAGATACAGCAAAGAGCCGCGGGCTAGACGAGAACTGGCTCGACGACCCGAACAGTAGTTAAGGAAGAAACGCGCGCGATACTCGTACTTGGTTCCGTGACGCACACATGCATATTCAAACGAAGGAGGCTTGCGACTGTAATAATAATAATCTTTGGCGTTTATGCGCGCACGGATAAGAGCCGAAATCACAAAAGAGCTCGAGCTGCAGCGAGCAAGATAGAGTCGACAAAGCAAGCGCAGACGGAGTCGGATACAAATTGGAGCCGTGCGCCAACGCTCGCGCGTCTCTCCCTCTCATTGTAGCTCGGAGCAGCGGCGTAACGTCGCATACGCGTCTCGCGCCCTCATCTTTCTCAAAGATTTCCCACGCGTCGATGATTTCCCGGAGGACTACTATTGCTCGTTGCACTTTTCTTTGGCTTAGTAGCGTGCGATGTCTGTACACTCGACGCTACTATTGCACGCACATATACATGCTCATTAGTATGCGATCCCAACACTCATATTCTTCTGTCTTTTGTGCGCCTCTTGTAAATCTAGCAGCAGCAGCATCAGCCTACGGCGACGTCCCTCTTAGCGGTCGGCTCTGGCGCAGTCAAGGCCGCTGCTGCCAATGGCTCGAGCAACTCCGACGCCTCCGCGAACAACAAGAGCGAGCCGAGCACGCGCAAGAAGTACATGTGTCCCCATTGCCATTACGGCACCGATCGCAAGGATCTCTTCACCAGACACGAGCACATACATCGAGCCGAGAAACCCTACCATTGCTATTTGTGCCACAAGACCTTCAGCAGACCGGATCACGTGAAAAAACACTTTCATCGAATACACAGGTGAGCGAAATTCGATTCCTTATTAATCTCGCGTAATCGCGTATTTGTCAGTGTCGCGCTACGCCTCCGAAGCGAATGTTGAGCTGCGCTCGTGCTCGAGATTGCAGACGAGGCACCAACTTTTCCACTCAGCCGTTGCAACAGTTCCTAGCTCTTCTGACGCTCAGCTGTCGTATGAGTGCATCTGCCACACAGTCGCACCAACTCGGGTAATTTTTGAGCGAGTTTCGCGTCGGCTGAGAAATGCGCGCTTTGTCTAACGACGCCTCTTCGTCTTTCCCTGCGACTGATTTTCAAGTTTTAGCCCGTTCGTCAAATCTGAGCCTATCTTGTATGTAAAGACGCACTCGCATTGACTTTGTTCGTTTATCGAAATCGAGCATAAAATAATTTAAACTTCAGTCACGCTAGAGTATTGCAATTTTGATATTCCTAACAGAGAGCACAAGTACGAGGTGTCGCGCATTCGAAGAGACTTAAGCAACAGCACTAGCAGCGCCAGCAGCGTCGTTTCGAACTCGGCGACGGCCACCGTCACGAGCCCCAAAGCCAACGATAACGTTAATAACGCATTCTCCATAATGACGAGTCCGTCGTACTCGGCGAGCAACAACAACAACACCTTCCTCGCGGTGAAAAGCCCAACTACGACGTATCAGCTTCAACAGTTGCCGCTGATCAGCAGCGGTCAATCGACGGGCAACGTTATTTATCGCGACGCTACTCTCAATGCCGCCGCTGCCATCGTTGTGGCTAGTTCGACCCTTGTCAATAATACCAACATCGTGCCGGCACAGCAGCAAGCTCCACAAGCCGAAGTGGCGGTGCAAAATGCAGTCGTTCAAGCGGTCAAAAGGTTACAAAATGGTCGGACTTCGCCCAAGCCTCCAAAATCCAATTCGAAAAAGAAAACGTAAGTATATAACCAACGTGATAATTAATAATATCTCTTAACCTCGTTTGAAAAAGCTGCACGTACTAATCGGTCTTTGCGCCGCGTCCTCGTTACGTCCACAGAATCAGTTGCAGCTACTGCTCTTGGATCGGAACCGACAATTGGTGCCTCAAGAGACACCTCAAAACGCACAACCGGCCGTACCCTTGCCAAATTTGCGACTACAAAGCGGCTCGGGCAGAACGGCTCACCTCGCATACGGAAAAAGTGCACAACAAGTACCAATGCTCGAGATGTACTTTCCTTGCTGAAGAAAAGGATCAACTGAAGTTGCATCAGATGCAAATGCACAGGATACCGCTGGCCAACGTAGCCGCTTCGTCCAACTCGGTTTCGAGTGCCCCAGTCCAGAACGACAACGACATGCTCAACGTGTCCAACTTAAGCAATGTGGGAGAAGCGCACGTTGTCCTGTGAGTATTTTCAAATTCCGTACGCAATTGACGCAGCCATTTGCATTAAGCTGATTCGAGCCTTTGTTTGAATTTTTAGCAATGTCGCTGGAGCTGGCAGAGCACCGCCCGGACCTCCAGTTTTTCCGGCCTCGGCGGCTACTATAGTGCCCGCAACAGCCGCTTTGACTTCGGCTACGATACTTAGGTAAGTAGGATTGGCCATAATCGCCATTCAACTTTCGATACTTTTCATTTCTTCTCAGTTTATGTTTTGATGAACCAATTCATTATTATTTCTTAATCAATGTCCTTTTTTACCTTTACTTTTTATGCACTTTCATCAATTTTTGTTGGCTTTGTTGCTGGTTTTGTTGTTATTTTTGTCATTTTTGACATGCTCATATTGAAATCGTTACACTCTCATCATTGAAACAGACAGGGTGACCAAACCTTAATTATAACTTGTGCGCTGTGTAATTTTTCGTTGACTTATTTAATTAATTTTTACGCTTCCTGGAAAAACCTCGATGCTTTTTTGGCAATTTTGAAGATTATCAACTTTTTAATAGTAATAATTATAATAATACTTTCTTATTAAATAAATATTGAACCAAGATGTTCGTGATTATTAATAAGAGTAAGTTATTTATTTTCATTTTTATGTAAAAATTGGCCAAAAAATACCCGAGAATTTTCCTCGGTAAAACTCGAACACTGCAGGCATTTCTGTCGAAATAAAATCACGTTTTATGTGTCAACATATGTATTCAACCAAAGTTTTTGTATGAATAGAAATAATAGTTAAAAGATGAAATTTCTTTGTGGGACGCAGCTCAGCAGTGGTCGCGGCTACGAGATGGTAAGCTTATCGTCGCCCTCGCCACGAGCGCCTATTCTCAGCAGCAGACCACTGCTCTAACCTAAGGCAAAGTGCAATACAGGTTGTCAAAGCCAACAAAAAATTTTGTGATTTTCGTCTACAAAGCGAAGTTGAACGAGCACAAAAAAGTCTATACAAAAAACAAATTAACTCGATAACCGTCTTCGAAAGCTTCGGTTAAAAAGTACTAATTTTATATTTGTAAACAGCTTTCATCATAAATTACCAGAGCAGAGACGATCTCGAAAGCAAAGTATGCCAAGGAAGGCTATCGGCTATAAATCGGACAACGATGATAGCAATAAGGAGAATTGTGACTGAGTCATATCTGCCAGAAACAAATTAGCCCAAATTTTACCAACAAAATCTTTGCTGCGAGCTTATGAAAATGCAATAAATGAAAGAAAATGAAAAAGCTCGATTAAAGTGTGATTGGATCTGTGCTTTCCTAGTCGAGAAGTGATACCCGGAAGAAACCTTTATGTACAAAATTTGTGTAAATATAATGACAAAAATGTGTTACACACGTGTAAATTAATTGTAAATTACATGCATTTTTTATCTAAATTGAATGTTATGTAATAATGAAATGATAATACGCTTTGTTTTTTACCATTTACTTAAATTGCTTGATTGTAAATAAGCATGAATTGACTTGTAATAAATCGCTTTGTTTTTTACCTGAAAATTGTGCATAAACATTGAAATTATTATACACTCGTGTACTTGTAAGTATGTATTTATGTAATATATGAATAAAATCTATTTGTTTGATGTGTAATTATGAAGTTGAAATAAAAGTTGTGACAAATATGGCTGAGTTTAAATCCAACTTCACACAATTAAAATATAAATCAAGATATGAAAATTTTTTTTTAAAATATATGGAGTAATTTACTCGTAAATAAATTATTCGTAATAGTAGTAGTTTATATTGAGATTAAAATAATATTTTTTTATCTATATCCATCCTAATCACCTCGTAACGAGTCACTAATTCTGGCGTGCTTTTGATTTATTACAGAACATATGAAAATAATCCAATAGTCAAGATTTTAGGCCCGAATTTAGATTGGATTCGGCAAAAATCGCAAAAGTTCTTCTTTTCTTTGCCGATTCTAAAGTCATTTTTAACTTAAAAAAGGTACCTTGAAAATATTTTCAAAATTGAATAAGCCTTGAAAATGCAATCTGCAAATTTGTCTCTTTTCTTCACATAAAAATACAAAATATAATAATTGATCCATATTTTGTCGGGCTTAATAACGCAAAATCTAGCGTGAAAGCATCTCTATCAAAGGAAAATCCTTTCTTTTAGGGCAACACATAGCTCGTTAAAAAATTAGGACAAATTATTTTTCTACTTTTAACTTTCATTTTTACAACTGTAAATTTTTTCGAATTTTTTACGATGGTTCTCCAAATTTAAGAGCAAGAAAACATATTTTTAAGGCAAACTTTTCGAAATCTGGTGGGTCGAGAAAGCCAATACGCATAATTAAGAAGATCAAAAATAAGGTTGATCGAGTCAGTCTTGCGATTGCATCAGTTACAATTGTCAATCAGGACTATGACTTTTCGTCTTGGTCTGGAGAGAATTGATTGCCAAGCCAAAGGGTACATGATGCGCGCTGCATAAAGTGCAAGGATACACGAACAGACCGCAGCTGTGGACGACAGAAGAAGCGAAAAAAGAAAAAATTACAGTTACGAAGGAAAAAAAGTTGTCGCGATTCGTCGAAGTGATAACGAGTCGTGTATTTCTTTGCTGGGGTAGACGACGGGTCCGCTCGTATAGCCTCGGGTCAAAAGTACTCAACGCCGGCCGCCGGTGCAGTCAAGTCCGCGGGCAACGACGCATAGTTGACGAGGCCACACACACACACGTCGCTCTCGCGTACGGGCGGCATCGGGGGATCGGAGGCAAGGGACGAGTGTCTCGATTAGCTGCAGGTCTCGAGACATTGAAAAGCTGTCCGGAAATGAGACGTGAAAGTTTCAGCAAGAATATGCATAAAGCTGGAACGAGAGAGCATAGCCCCGGGCGGATTGCAGAAAGAAGATTAAAGTAAGCAGGTTCCTCTGGCTCGAGTATACTTGTGTACTTGTTCATCGTCGAGTTGGGTCCCATATACGTTACCGATCGAGTAGAGCTACTGCCGCTGCGCGACGATCGGACTTTGTGCTGGCCTTTAGTTTAAAAAACCTTTTGAAAGCTCGAGGTTTCTGTGTAGCCGTATGCGCTTCCAGCTACTTTTACTGTTTACTCGTTCTTGGACCACAGTACGCAAAGCATTATGAATAATATAAATTTTTCTTCGGGCCAGCTGTAACGTGCGAGGCAACGCGGATATCGTAGTGTGAGTACGTAAAAGCGTAAATTTGCTTTTTCTGACCCTGCCCAGTCTGCATGCCGCATGCCGTATGGTACAATGTACGCGCGCCATAGCTTCAGTACTAAAACTATTTTACAACTGCAACAGCCATTAGAGCACGCGAGCTTGGTTCAATGAGAAAATCGGCGCAGCGAGCAACAAGCCGCCTGATACCGCTCAAAACGCCACACTATCCTAGACTCGTGCTCGTGAATTTCAAATTTTTCCCTCTTCCCTGCCTCTCTCCAATAGCCAGGCTTGGCTGTTATGTTGTTGAAGAAAAAAAACGCATTTTATAAGTTGGGCATTTACGGCTCAGCGCAACGACTCGGAGGACTTTGACGGTGGTGGCGACGGCGACGAGCAAAACCAACGAGCGATTGGTCGAGTGGCTTTAAAAATTCAAGTGCGCATTTGTTGGCATACAGAACAGAGTCTGCAATCTGTTACTGCCTATTACATATATTCTGCGCGGACGCGTATGACTCTCACTTCATATTAAGCGTTTCTGCACTCTAGCACACAGTGCGACATTATAACAATAAGATGTAGGGCTTCGGTTTGTGGGGTGCACAGTCTGGGGAACGAGCAAGAAAGACAAAGAAAGAGGGTAAAAGAATAAAAGCTTTTTATATGCCCTATACAACTAAGCAAATATATTTGTACTTGAGATCGTCAAAGATAAAATTGTGTCTTTCAGTGGTCCAGGATAAACTATATTGAAGTTTTGATGAAGAATTCGATTATTTCGTCACTCATTAAATTGTTACTTTTATCAAATTGAATCATGAAGGAGAACGTTTTTTCTTTTAATTTTTGGATAACTCACTCATCAACAAAACAAATTATGATTGGAATGCATTGAAATAGCAAAAAAATAACTTTCATTTCGTTTATACTCGAGGCTTAAGAACTCGAATATATTAATGCAATTTTTGCAACGATGTTCAGGCTTTTATTGACATCGTATACTAAACTTTAGGCATAAGGTCATTATTGATCAAATACACACTTCAATAAAAAATTCTTTAGAAAAATAGTCGCATAAATAATATGTTTGATAAAGAGAATTTAGGTAGATAAGCGACACGTAAAGACCAAAATATATAGATCTGAAAAACGCCGAAGAAAATTCAGTTTTCTTTTCTTCTTTTTCGCTTCTCTTTATTTGAACTGCCTCCAATTTTATACGGCGCAAAATAATAATTTTGTACAAAACTGGATGCACGTACATCGCAGATTTTCAATTCTCTTTACAATGGCGAACAGTAGAAAGTTTATGTGTTAACTTAAATATAAACTTCCTACTTTTCGTAAGAGGCGTTGACCTAATCTGATGATTCAGTTTTTTGAAGTTCAATTGTTTTTTTATCCTCTTTTTTTTACATTCTTTTGTATACACTTTTGTATTCTCTTATTGTATTGTGAAGGTGTGTGTTAGGTTCGAGAATTAATGAAAGAATTCATAATCTATTTTGTTAGTATTATAGGTGTGCGTGTACTCGATTTTACTAGTTCTACTCGAATTCGAATTAAATAGAAAAATTTGAGTACTAGAATTTTTGGTGAATGCGAGTTTTGTTGGGTACTCGGGTTTTTTCGAGTACTCAAATTTTTTTCGTGCACTGGTAATGGAAAGGCACATAAATTGGGTTAAAGATGGATTTAAAAAAATTTTAATTCTTGATAATGATAGTTAATTCAGTAATAAAGTCATAATAATTGATTTAATATTGTAATTAATTCAGTACAGAAACAATATAAAAATTGATAGGGTTGTGTGAGTGCCCGAAAAAATTTGACGCGATAAAGTCGAAAAGTCGGATGCTCGAACATCCCTATAGTTATTATAATTATAAAGGGCTTGACAGGCATTAGGAAGAATGAGATATTTTTAACTTTTAGTTAGAACGTTAGAAGATCGTCAGCAGCGTAGGTGCTTATTCAGATATTACAACATAAAAATATATACGGAGATACAGATTGAGAAGCGCGATAATAAAAACTATACTTTTTTCCTTACTTTGTAACGAAACCTTCCGAATGAGTGTAAAGCTGTATTATACGTATGAGCCGTCGTTTGTTGATCGAGACCATGTTTTATTTATCAAAGTTTCACAAAAAATAATAGCCTACACGGAAGAAAGAAAAAATCAGTACTTTCGTATTCTTATTGCAACGGTGATGAAGTAAAGGTCGAACGAAAAACAGCGTGGAGCTGCGCCGCAGCAGCTCGTACAGCCAGTACAGCCACCCAAAATGGCCCGGTAATACTACTAACGAGCAGAAAAAGAGGCTAGCGGTGTGGGAGTTTTTTCGTCGTCGTCGCAAGCGCGCATGCAGCAGTAGTTCCTGCGCACTTGCCAAAATGCCACGCAGTAACATAAAATACTCGAGATTCACGAGCGGCGCGTCTACTTAACGCCAGTAGAGTAGATAAAAAACATGGAATATGCAGAGGCGAGCGGGCGGGCGAAAACACGCGGACCTGCTAAAAGTCCGGCGAGGGAAAAGAAAAACGAGTCCTCGCGCTTTGAATGATAAAACACGAGGCGGAGCCCCGAGCGATCTCGTTGAAAAATGCAGCCGAACGATTTGGACGCGAAAAAAGTGCTGCTGCTGCAGCTCCTTAACAATGAGTTAATAGCGGAATTATTGGGCGAGTGCAGCGAAGAGCGTGAGAGGCATTCTCGATGGTTTAGAGACTGTATCGCGAGCGCGTCGAATCGCGGTTGGCACGTTGCGAGCCGGCGTGAAAGAGTAAACAAAATTAAGTGGACGTCGCGTCGGGCAGTCGGGTGTCGCTACAAGCGGAGGAGGTGCTCGCAAACTTTTGCCCAACGCATTAGTCGTAAAATGGCCAAGTACGCGTGGAGCTCGCAGAACCAGTCGACGCAGCAGCTTATATTAGCCAAGGCTCGGCGAGCTAGTCCGCAGTCAGAAGTTGTCGTTTCCGGGCTAGAAGTCGAGCCGCCGAGAGTCGCGCGCAGTGCAATGCACTCCCCCTCGAATGTAAGCTAGCGGCTGCGAGCTAGAGCTTATTCGTCTCGTTGCCGCAGGCCACGACGGAAGGCTACATTTTGCCAACTGCATTTTGCATAATTCAGCCTCGTCGTCTATTGTCCATATAGTCCCTGGCGTATACATACGTAGCTGCTGTAAGCCCGACCAGCTACTGCCGCAGTCGACGCCGCTGCTACTGACGTTGCTCCAATATACATTTATATAATATTTTAAATATACATATAATATACAATATACGTGGATATTTGCGCCTGATTGATTTTTCAGGTAGATTCAAACTCATTGAATGGACGAGGCAAAGTTTCAGCTTCCTTTTTTCAATTGACTTTGTCTTTTGGAGCAGCTCTTAATTGGTGGCCTTGAAAAGTCAGGCAGGCTACTGGTAGTTGGCTCGAGACTCGTTTGGACTTTTGT